AAGGAATCACTTATTCCTTTAAATTGGTCAACTATGTGTCAAAATGCAACATATTGATGCAAGAAAAATTAAAAAAGCAGGGATGGAAGGGGACGAAAATTAGGAAAACATTTCAGAAAAAACATGTGAGTGGGTTGTTTGCATCTACCCTGTCTCAGAGTCGAAATTATTTTATCATCTCTAGAAGTGTTTTTCCTGGAGGTAATGCATTGGCCTAACATATGCAATTGTTCAAATCCTCAGAAAATGGCCAAAATCCAACATATGACTGTCCAAAATCTGTTGCACTAATTTCCCTCCTCCTTTGTTCCAGTCTGATTGGCTTTTTCCTTCAGTTTCAACAGATTGTTTTGGCCCAGAGAAGGCATATTTATTACTTCTAAGGGGTTAAAATATAGATAAATCCCAAAAACATTGTTTATTGTTTTCGACTTATTGCGTTCAATTCTGACAGCTGGTTGCTCTGTTGGTTGTCCTGTTGATTTCTTCAATATATTGGTGATATTGTGCTTATGATTTGGTCTCAAGATATATTTAAGGTATATATGATGTTTTATGAGCAATTATATTAGGACATTACTGATTGTCCAGAATAGAAATCTGGACGACTGAATCTCTTTAATTATCCAGGCCAGTTACCAGTCACTGCTTGGATCCTGGGAATATAAGCGCTAGCCTTGGGATTACAGTACAAATATTGCTGCCAACGAATTTAGAAAATCTTGCCCATCTTTGACCATCAAACATATGCCTGAACTATTAAAGTAGAATGCTTTTGTAGAAAGAAAATTGCGATAATAGTTTTGGATTTTGGTACAAATCAAACTCTGTCAAATTTTGGCGATGCAGTCGCCTTACCTACATTCAGATCTTCCAATTGAAATAATGCAGGAATTCAGAATATCTGAGACTGAATGTTCAAGAAAAAGGCAATTGGTCTACTTTGTTTATTCCCACTGGTGTTACTGAGACAGAGAATCTGTAGGATACTAAGGGGCATACATCCCCTCCATAAGTTTGGCAACCTTTGCTCCCCCATTGAATTACGTGTTAAAGCCTCTTTACGTTTGAATTTTTATTTACTTACCCTGCGATAAAATTACTTATAATATTAATGGAAACGTAACTTGACTTTATTTACAATCCCTACTAATTTTCCCAATTTTTTTCCTTAAAGGGTGACGCATATCGTTTAGCAAATCGAACGCTCGTTTCTGGTGTTGCTCACCGTTTAGTATAAAAGGCCCGATCCCGGAATAATACTCAAGGGTTCACAGGTTCGAGGTCGTTGTGTCAACACCTCTGACTGTTATATAGCATAAGTATATTATAGATCGTCACACATTTATAAAAGGGTGATTTTTATTTTGACAAATCAATTCCACATTTATGGGTGAAGTTTCAGGATCTTCTATTTGTGTATAATAAGGAAAAATTGGCATCTAAATTTCCCCATAACGTAATAGCACACAGCTTGTCATATGAAATATCCTACAAATGAAACAAAGCAAGACAAACCGGTTTCTAATACAAGGATTTATATTGGCTCTGTTGTACATGTATTCTTTGAACGCAATCACTCTTTGGATAACGTTTTCAAAATCATTATAAACGGATTACTTTATCTCAAAGACAATTTCAATAAACTGGATTTTACAGAACTCCCCTTATTTCTCAAAAATGGACTGATCCAGTTGATTCGCCTGGAGCCGCCATATTGTTTTTATACGGGATGCTAATCGGAACCCTTTAAGTACAATAGGTCGAAAATTGATGATTTTGATGAATTTTTGAAAATCGTCATTCCCATGTGACCAATGGGAAATGGTGCGTTTGGGGCAAATCAGAAATCAGGATATCTATTCAGTAATTCCCTGAATACTAAAGTTACAGAGCTTCAAAGTCATTTTTGAAAATCATTTTTTCGCTTCCTGTGTTATTTCAATGGGAGTTTTTTTGAAAAAAAAATTGACTTTAAAGACCTATATCTTTGTAGAACCTGAAGAAACGTATCAATTTTTGGGTTAAATAGTTAGCAAATTCAATTTCCTACCTAACTTGTATTTTTTGCAAGGTCTCGGATGGATGGATATTCTGTCAAATGACTTGCGGCAAACCTACCATTTTCCATTGGTTAACATTGGAATGCCAATTTTCAAAAATTCATCATCAATTTGGGAAATAAAGTCAAGTTACGTTTCCATCAATATTATAAGTATTTTCATCGCAGGTTAGTTAATAAAAATTCAAACGTAAAGATGCTTTAAGACGTAGTTCAATGGGGGAGCTAAGGTTGCCAAACTTATGGAGGGGAGTGGTACATACATACAATGTATACAGGAGTTTGTTCTGAACATATATAGTATTCAAACAATTAAATATTAGGCCTACTATAAAGTTGAAGGCAAAATTCATTGAACATTGGGTCAAATGTCAAATTCTGATATACAAAAAATATTACTTATTTTTGTTTTGTATGTGAATTCCTTTTAAATCCAATATTTATTATTTAGTATGTGGAATAATGATAGTAGTTTGTTAAGGAAAAGGGTAAATGACACTTGGAACACTTTTTCAAACTTTTGATTATCCCATTCTTTAGATATCAGAAAACTATAACATCAGGAGTTCATTAAAAAAGTTTATTTTGCTTACAAAATGTTTAAAAAACTACAATGCATAGAAAACTACAAAAGCATGTTACAAATTAAAATGTTATGCATTAATAAGTAGAATACAACATTTAAACAACATCAATAACTAGTAGACTACTATCTGTGATCTGAAATCACCAGTCTTGTATAACATAATACAACTACATTTAACATTTATATAAAACAGACATTAAATTGAGTATAACATCTAGAATACTAGATGGAGATCTTTTGAAAACTGTTACATCCATAAACAAAGTTCTGCTAATATTCAGTGCAAATACACTTGTATGTGTTTTAGTATAACTATGGTGCCATGATTCAGTTATTATGCAAAATGGATAGAACTTTTTTTTTATTTCAGACATTACATTTGTCTTGTTTTATCGTTTTGATATCCCAAATTAAGTTAACATATATCTGTTCTGTGCCTGAGGATTTTACTTCCTACCTGAGATTTAAAAAATCAATTTTTTTTCTCAAAATTAAGCATAATTTTTCGATGTAAATCTATTAATAGGTTAGCATTTTGGTAAGTATATGGCCTTCTCTTAGAAATGTCAAGAATTTTAAATGATTAAACACTGCGTATATATGTGAAAAGCTTATAGAGTAAACTTCCCAACAATTGTATTGAGACTACACTTACCATACTTTTTCAAGTGTATGTGTAGAGGAATAAATCTTAAGTCAACATTATTGAAGACTGTACAAAAATGTGCCGCCAAAATGTTTCATATAAAAAGATTTCAGAATAAACATAAACTTATATTAAAACACTGAAATACTAAAAAACGATAAGTGAGTTTTGCACTTCATTGTCCAAACACAAATAAATTTTGTTTTAAATGCATAAAGCAAAAATATAAGCTCAATGCAAATGTTTCTGCATATCTAGATAAATGCTTCACAATACAAATATAAACATAAGCTTACTTATAAATTATAAAAAAAATATATACGCCCATGAAACCTTTCTTCCTTCTCTTGTGCCTACTATATCTTGATAAGGTAAAATCGAAGTAAATGTCAATCATTCAAAATACACACTCAATATGTGTAAATATAATTAAATGGCTAACTTTTTGAGATCATATCCAACAGTCTAAATGGAAATATACAATTACAACAAAAAATAAATACTTACAAAATTGGAATGATTTTGTATAGAACAATGTCGCTTTAAAGATTTTTGTTTTACAAAAATCGTATGCACCAAACATTGCTAACATGTAGTTACGAACAAAAATATCTTATTAATATTGCTAATGAACACCTCCTAACTAACAACTGAACATGCGTGTCTTTTAAGACACGTACACACAGAAAACTACATAAAGTGTATACTGTTTTATAATACTTAGAATTCCTGATTTCAATATATTAGAGACATTCTAACAGAACACATTGAATTCATGCGAATGTTCCTTTGATTAAGCAAGTCGAAAAACAAGTAGTCGTGTGAACAAATGTAAATAGTGTACCCACTTCAGTACATAAATTGTGCATATATATCTAAGTAAACATAACATAAATGTTGTTAAAAAGTGATCAAACATAAAAACAATGTGATCTTTTGAACACAATGTCTGGACTCATCAAAACAAGTCTCACATTACGAACACATTGTCTGAACTTATGAACATAATTTGAAATCAAGAACACAACTTTTGAAAACAATGTCCCAACTTATGATAACAATGTCTGAACTTATACACACTACATGTATATCTCAACTTATGAACACATGGTCTGAAATTATGAACACAGTGTGACTTTATGAACACAATGTCATAATACTTTTAAAGCATTCTTTGAACACATGTACCAACACATGAACATGTGTACAAATATACATGTTCAAATATAGGAACATGTGTTTGAACACAAGTTTGAACACTGCAAGGTCATAAACAGCTTGCTACAATTTTCATGAACACCACTGGGAACACTGCATGGTCATAATAGTTTGCTACAATTTTTATGAACACTGCTTTGAACACTGCAAAGTCATAAACAATTTGCTACAATTTTCATAAACACTGCTACGAACACTGCATGGTCATAAACAGTTTGCTACAATGTTCATGGACACTGCATGGTCATAAATAATTTGCTACAATTTTCATAAACACTGTTACAAACACTGCATGGTCATAAACAATTTGCTACAATTTTCATAAACACTGTTACAAACACTGCATGGTCATAAACAATTTGCTACAATTTTCATGAACACTGCATGGTAATAAACAATTTGCTACAATTTTCATGAACACTGATACGAACACTGCATGGTCATAAACAATTTGCTACAATTTTCATGAACACTGCATGATAATAAACAATTTGCTGCAATGTTCATAAACATGGATACGAACACTGCATGGTCATAAACTTCTCTATGAACACAATCACTGTGAATACTGTACAAAGTTTTATGAACTTTTATAAACTTGCTTCTGAACACAATGCAAAAACCTTGTTATTTGGTTTATGTTTGTACCTCATTATTTCAAAAAGAATACCAACTCGTATAGATGGTTAGTGAGCACTTCTGAACACATTTACTTGTTTATAAAACATCTTAATTGTAAATGAACACTTTAGAAAAAAACTTGAACACATCATGAAATGGATTTCTAGAGACCCTGCTTGCTTATATAAAATAGTTTGGATTCTTGGTATATATAATCATTCAATTTAATTGAATGAACTGAATGAACTAACAGTCTACTAGTATGTTTTTGGCAATGGGTTTCTTACATACATATAACATATAATAATGAACAATAAATTATGATCTACAGCTAAAATATTTACAAGCTTGTAATATGAGACAACATTTTTTTCATGCAATGGACAATATTAACATTAATACAACTAACTAAGGCTTGCTTACATAGTACGGCTACAGGATGCTTCCTAGTTTGCATACATGGCGCATGTACACCTAATCTTCTACAGGCTGGCCCATAATATATACATATCGGTCCTAATATAAAGTCTACAACTCTACGCTACTCCTTTCCTAGCCTTCATACTATCGGTTTCCCTTCTTTACAGTTAAATATCATTATCAAAGATTAAGAAATTGAGCGGTTTTATAATTTAAAAATTGCATCTAGTTGACATCATATTCTTAGCTTTTCGATTACAACTCAATTGTAAAAAATATATTTCAGGCTCAAGTTGATGGAAATGGCTATCATGATATGAAAATGGAATTCTAATAGCATAGAAAACAGGCCTATGCATGCATATGTTATATCAGATAAATGTTATATAAAAACATACATAAATACCCTTTGTAAAAACCGGTATAAATATAACACTTTTTTGCTGCCGTATTGATCCCTTATATGGTTGAACAAGACGTATTTCCTTATATGGAACACCTAGATACATTTGTCCATGAGTGCTCTGTTTTGATCATGGAGGGACTGGATCTGTCTTTGGTGGTTAGACTTGAGTTGTGAGATCTGGTCATGATAGAAGTGTTGTAATTCAGCCAGCTGGCTCTGGTGTTGTTGCTGTTGGGTTAAAATATCAGCGTGCGCTTTACGGAGCTGATCGACAGTCTGCTGGAGAGCCTCGATTTGGTTCTCCTTTGCTTTGAGCTGTTGTTTATGGAGAAGATTCTGCTGTTGACCAAGTCGCTCATGGAGTTGCTGTTGTAGATGCAGCTGTTGAAGCTGCTGTTGGAGACCATGAAGCTGCTGTTGTTGCTGCTGCCATTGCTGACGCAGCTGTTGTTGATGAAGATTATGCAATTCAATTATCTGCTCCTGAGATTTACAGTTTTGAGCTTTGATTTCCTCAAAAAGTCGCTTGATTTTTTCATTTTCTGTTAACCTTGGTTTAGGTGTACTTTCTTTGGTAAGATTTGTGGTCTCACTGTCATGAACTGATTCTGGTGTGATGGCCCTTTCTGAATCTGAAGTGCAAGGAGCTATACCACTTTGATCAAGACAGTCTTTTGATTCATGAAACCCAGAGCTTCCAGAGTCATTACGTTGGCGGTGCCCTTTCATGCTGAGATCTTCGGGAATGTCACAACCAGTGTCTGTGAGGCCTTCGATACTGCTGGCGTACGAGGTGTGGGAAGAGGCAGGGGAGGCAGCACCTGAGCGGGAGAAATCATAAACATGATTCAACAGTTCTTCTTCATTGTCTTCATGTTTAACATTCTCCTCTTTTATGGTTAAAGCCATTTCACCCTCAATGGAATCTCTATTGGCATTGATGTCATCATGTTGATCGGCCTCCTCCCCAGATTGAGGGGAATCGTCCTTAGGGGCATCTGTAATGTAGACTCCTGCAGAATACACCGATTCCATCTCAGACTGAGGTGGGGAGGATGAGACAGTGCTGCCCTCTGTGGTGCCAGTTTCTGCTAATTGTTCCTGGATGGTGGTTGCTATGGTAGCGATAAGCTCCTTGTGAGGGTACTTAATGGCAAGACTGAGGCTTTGAGGTGATCCCTTTCGTTTGCGGCGGGGCTTCTTCTGGACACTTGATACAGGCGAATCTTCAAGATTAGCGTCAATATTCAGGCGACTAAGAGGGACATCTTTCGGGGATTTGTGCATAATGCCGTGTTGACGTTGCTTATGTTTTATCAATGGTCCAATTTGGTTGAAGCGCATCGAGCAGAAGTTGCATGAGTAGGGTCTCTCCCCTGAAAAACAAAAAATAAAATTATGAACTTTGTATGACTAATATGTCAACAAAGGATATTTACATGTATACATATTATGAATGAGACAGATTGATGTCACTTGATTGTTGCAGCATTACAATGAAACCAAAGCAACATATTACTTTTGAATATAACATTTTTTGCATATTATGCCCACTGCACACTGTATAATTTCATCTATTAAAATTTCATCATTTTATTCATGAAGTACAGTTTCTAGTGAATGTTAAATGGTGTAAAAGGTTTCTTTTCATATTTCTTAGTAAAAAAACACATGTAATAAAACAAATGATCACTTGCAAAATTTGCACCTGCTCATATATGGCCTATTAGCTACATGTATACACAGTGAGCGGCTCAACTTCTTAAACTTGAAATATAAGAACAGTTGGCCTTTCATTAAACAGTATGGAGCAAACGACAATGGCCAATCTAATTATCTGACTTTCAGTATTCACTTATGCTACACAAAATCTAGAAAAGCGACAGATGTGCCTGGCTTATAAGTTAGTATTACTGACAATATTAACCACTGGAACATTTCCTTTGTCAGTTCTATGAAAATAAATTATTTGCATATTGTTTCTGTTATCCTGAGATACCCCTGAAGTGTGCTGTATTGAAACCTATAGATAGTTTACTTTCAAATCAATATGAATGATATTAATATGCACACAACTCAGACAATATACACGCTTTCCATGCGAACCCTTGCCTTAATTTTTCTATATTATAACACACTTTCTTTAATTTCTCATCAGAATTTATATAAATAATAATATTTTCTGCTATTTTGATTACTTAAAGTGTTAGCTATGAGTCTCTTATTTTTTAGTTGTTCCAGTTTTTATTTTCTATAAAGATATGATATTTATCTCATGGGTTAAATCATATAACTCAACTTTCTGGAAATGCATCAACTCAGCTTATATGGTAAACCAGACAATATAGTAGGTTTAGCACTGATATTTCCCAATGATTTAATCAAACATATCAATGAGTAGTATGAATCATATGCCATTCTAACTATGATTTATAGTTTTTTCTACTTCTTACTGAAATTCTTCAAAACATTAAAATTTTGTCCACATTTATGATAATGATAAGTACTGTTGTTTTTGGTTAAAAATTGTTAAAGTTATTCTGAACTTAATAATGTAAATATTCATCTTTCAGGAATATGAAATCAAATGATTTTTCCAATTTGAATAAAAATGAATTATAAAAGTGTTATTTCTAATATATTTCCTTAAAAAATTTAAAGTTTAAATATATGCACTTATTAGGCCAAAACAGCAGAAGTATCCAAAATAGTCAACATTAGTGGGAGCAATATATTATACATCTGACAGTTTGAACTTCGAACAAAGCAAGTATACTTCAAATAAAACAGCCCAGGGTACGATCTGCTTTATATTTTCTTATATAACACTACTTAACACAGTCTGAAAGTTTCAAATAAGTTCTAATAGGACAAAAGATCTGAAGATATTATTCTGTTGTTGACTGACCATATGTTCATCTGCCATATCCTTACACAATTTGTTAAATTTACTGCTTTAGAAATTGCCAATATATGTAATATAATATGTCTGATTTTGAGATATCCATAATTACATTTTGATCATCTTTATCATTCTATTATTTGAAATTCAATACTTGAGTACATGTGATTGCATTAATTCAAAGAAATAGAAACAGATGAGTCTGTTTATTACATCACAAAGGTTTGTCAAAGTTTCAAAGACCTCCTAGTTTAGGATAGATATCACATTACTGGACACAATTGATCTCAAATACCCATATATCTGTATATCATAAATAAATAAATAATTATACAACACAGAAACATGTGTGAACAGTGAAGTTATTAAACTCTGACCTAAAACTTTATCATTTAATTAAAAATTTAATAGATAATGAATGCAAAATATCAAAAACAAAAAGGGGAAGTCTGATTGTTTTTCGTTATCATGGAAATATGAAACACTCGATGACTAAAGGTATATAGATATTATAATATAGATCTGTTTCTACAACAAATCAAGCACTTTTAGTCACGTCATATGAATCACAAAAATCCAATATTTATATCCAGTCATCAATGCAGCGCAATGAATCAAGATTTACTCCTCTTTGTATATTTAATTAACAACTATTATGACTACTAGACTTGCATAAAATATGCAGAATATTAAATATTTCTCAGAAGAATACTAGAGGGAAAAAACAAGTAATATGTCAAATAATTTATCAAAAAGTCTATTAAATATTTTTCAATAATAATCTACATCTGAACTCTGAAGCATAACACTACAGAGCAAAACATATTAATTGATTTATGTGCAAAATTGATTTTATTTCAAGAAATTCGCACTTATCTCACAGTTCTAGTAAATTGATCAACTTAATCCTACTTATTTCAAAATAAATCCTATTCCTTATTAAAATAAAAAATTAGAAAAATATTCTTCTCAATATACAAAATCTTGCAGAAATAGTAAAACACATTTTTTAAATTTCACCCACAAACATTAAATTAATTTCCTAATTCAATTTTTAATTTTTCAACAAAATATAATAAAATTTTACTTTCTAACTTTTGTTTTAATCAGATTGGTTATGGTTACCCATTACACAAACTGGTTATTAATCATTTTATACTTCAACTTCTTAACATGTGCAAAACACAAAGAAACAATTTAAAAAAAGTGTTTACCTGTATGTATTCTCCTATGTACTGTATAATGCTGCCTTCTGCCAAATTCCTTACCGCAATATTCACATTTAAAAGGTTGAGAATTTCCCCTAGGGCTACTTTTATGGGGTGGGGAAGGCGGGATCGCTACCTCAGTCATATTTTCCGAAATTTCTGCCTCTGATTTTAGTAAGTCCAATCTCATCACTAGAAATTATAAGGTACATCTGCTTAAAAACAAGCTGCACACTTAATATATAGCAGACTCCCTTGACACAAAGGAGGCAGGTGTTAGCCTACCTTTCAATCAATAGTACTAAGTGTGCCATGATAAAGAAAACCAATGCAACAAAGACTTAGCTTCAGTATAGGTCAATTGACAGATTTAAGTATGATGCTATATGTCAAACAGTGAAATAAACAGTATTATCATTATTTCATTTTTGATTGCAATTAAGATATCTGTCCTAAAATCTGATAAGTCACCCATTGATAAGCCATGCTTCTGGCAAATGGCCAAATGAGTCAAATTTATGGGGTATTTAGAAAGTAATATATTTCTACTTTATCTATAAATGCAGAATGGACTTGTTTACAAATATAACAATGTCAAAACTTATTACTATACACTAAATAAATTAAATATGGAATTATTTGTCCATACAGTTGTTGATCATGACAACAAATGAAATCCAAAAAGTAAACAAAATAAGTCAACAAAATAATCATGTTCAGCTGTCACAAAATAAAGTAAGATATAACACATATAAACACACAAAATACACACTTTTAGATATCTTTTATTTTCTTCACTAAAATCAAGGTGAAATGAGATAAAACTGATGAAATATTTTTATTTCCTTTGTTGTCATATCTCCCATTGCATTGACAGACAATGACATTGGTTTCTGACTTATTTTCAACATCTTACCACTCATCTTACCGGCTTATTTCTGAAAACAACTATTACAATCGCTTCCCAATACATATAACATTTATCATGTGAATATTAGACATACTTATAAGTTATATATGTTGGTAAAAATGAGATATTATAATGTGAACTTACCTTCCGAAAGTACAAAGCACACACACAAAGCAAATGTAAGTTGAAAACCATGCCATCTGCCGCTCGTTCTAAAGGTCAAAGTTGACACAGGGTGTATACTTGGGATAAAATTTGGAATATACGATTTTTAGCATTGCAATGAAATAAAATAGTGATTAAAAACACTTTCACATATCAGTTCATTTTCAGAATCAACTAATTTTAAGAGAGCCTGGAAACATTAGGGTATTGCAAGCCCAATGGATTATATTTGTCGTCAAGTCGGGACTGATACTCGAAAATTACTCCATTCGGTAACTCCATTATCGCCCACAAAACAAAACGTTGGTTTTTGAAAATATTGTACATTTTCACCGATTTCAACATGGAAGTGGGATCTGATGGTAAAACAAAAATGCCTAAAGTCGCAAAGGTTAGTTATTTATTGTTTGTTTTGAGTTTTATATCGTTCATAGTTAAATATAACTCTGAAATCGGAAATTAATAAATCTTTTATTTTTTTATTTTTCAATTTGATCATGATGATCTTGTTTTATTTCTTAGTCTCTTGAGGTTATCAATCATATAATGTCTGTCACATGAATCTTGTTTGTTTATATCCAATGTTTTGCGGTGCTTTAATGCCACCTTATATAGTCTCTGGTGCTACTTTTCACTTTGTAGTTTGTAGAATCTTCTCTTATGTCATTCCCTAAAAGAGATATGATCAATGATAATATACTCAGGGCTTCTTTGAAAAGTCCACCCCAGTCTACAGTGCTGATCTAGACTATAGTCTATTTAGTCTGAATTATATTCAGACTATAAGGCACCTATGCTAAAGTTTGGTAATTATAAATATTTGTTTACATAGGAAGTGCTATTCAAAATGGCCGATTGGGTAAAATTAATTTTCACATTTGTTACTTCAACTAGCTTTATTTCCACTTGACATTATGCTGTGTTACTTTTTATTGCATTTAATTGTACCTTACTATTTAATTGAAATTTTGTAATGTTTATTTTATTGAAGAAATTGTTCCTCCAATTGATAATTTTGTGCAAAAAATTTCACTGCAATTTCCACAGGAAAGTAGTACATCATAACAGACTGGCTTCTAGTCAGTCTGTTGGATACATACTAGTGCTGACCATAGTAAATAAACGGTGGGTTTTCAAACTAAATAGAGCGCTCCTTGCAAAATGGATTTGCATTTTTACTCATGAGACTCTTATCTCAAGAATATAATGCACAAATAAATCGTTCCGTTCCATCATTTTGAAACCTGTCATGAGTAAATAAGGTTAACTGATGTTCCATTCTGGGAGTCAATCCTCCTTGGATCAAAAACATGGCGATTCATGAAAACATTTGTTCGATTTGGTAGGAATTTATCTATCATTTGCAGGTATGAAGCTTTGGATTCATTTATTGTGCTACTTAAAGTGAACAGGAATTATTTTTCTACCGCTTGGGACAGTTTGAGACATGAAACTTAGAATTTAGCTCACTGTGACAACTTTTGATGGTTGAGGTTTATAAATGTCTCCAACTGTAGAGTTATTAGAGGCAAAAAAATCTGAAGTGACTTTACCCATTATTTCTGCATTTGGTCCATAATTTATTGAGGAAGTTACACTGAAACACAAATTCCATGGAACAAGACAAAATGACTATAAAAAAATTGGCACACATGCGCATGCGTCACTTTAAGTTAAACCCCGATCAAGTTACAGTCCGTTACACTGCATCAAAGGAACCAGTTGAACCTCAAAATAAGAAATCTAAAGACTATTGTGCAATAATATATAGAAACATATATTCATATTGCACAAAAATAACAATCTTGGATTGCTTGTAAATTGGGTTATGAAGTCTGTAATCTCACATATTTTGATGCTTCTCTGCCATGTTAATTCTGAAAAAAATAACATGGCGGATAGACCTCAAATTTCTAGAGGGCACAGGCTTATTAACACTAAATAATCTGAAATATACAAATGTCATTTGTGTGCAATATGAATATGTTTTCCATATATTGTTGTGCAAGTCTTTAGATTTCTTATTTTTTTAGGTTCAACTGGTTGCTTTGAAACAGTATAACAGACTGTATTTGAGTATTTCATGCACATGAATTATTTGCTCCTGAGCACTTTTCAGTAAAAATCTAACCACAATAAACAAACCTAGCAGAGATTACCCCAACTTCATTCTTGCAAAATGTGGGCTCAAACTCTTGACAAATGCATTATACATATACTGGTATGAAGTTTTGGGAGATACTCAATTTGGTAAATATGATTTACGGGGTATGCTTTTTGCAGTTTGGAACATTAAATTTTAAAATTCAAGAAAATATCCCAAGTATACGACTTATCAATTATTTTTGGTTGCCACTATAGTTCAACGAGTTAAATTCAAATCTGGTTTAATCTAAATCTGAATTTTCTTGGTGTCAGATTGAATTTAACTGCCGTGCTATACATCCATGCACCACAAATTTTGGATCGATTGAAACTAATTTTCCTGGATTATATATCACAGATACTTGTTGATAATATAGAAACAGTACGCGATCACGGGAGGTTTCCATTTTGTAGTGACGCCACAATAAGGCCACACTGTTGTAGCTGTTTTATTTTGAGAGATTATCTTCTGTATTTTGTACTATGTTTATTTATTTTTTACGAAAGTATGATGTTTAACTAGATTAACATTTATTCTAAGCATATGCCATGTTTAAGATCTTACTGACATGATTTAGATAGGTTAAGCACCCTCCCCCCGAGCTGCTTATTGCCATTGATGTTAAATATGAACTTCGTCAAGACTCTACACACATAAGGATATACTCATGATCTATTCAAATTGACATACCGGGTTATGGTAAAAATCAGACGCATAGTTTACTTAACAAAACGATAAATGTTTCAGCTCAAAACTGCCACATATCCGCTATTTTGTCTCTCTATCATTTTTAATCTTATCTTAATATGATGTCATACCAATAAGACGAAATACATGACAGCAGTATTTATAAACAAAAATACCGTACTTGAATTCTGATCGCAAATGGTTAATTCAAAATTGTCGCCTTTTCTCAAGAAAAATATGATTTTTTCTGATTATTATACAATTACACTTTAATGTAATGTAAATGTACTATAATATAGTTATCAGATTTAATTCAAATTTTATATGCTTATGCCTTATGGTTATGAGACCTCTACTCAAAAAGGAAATCATAATATGGCCTCACCTCACACTATTTTTTGGTGTCTAATTTGGAGGAATATTTATTGAGCTACTGATCGTAGCGGTGAACAGTGAAATACTCCACCCCCCATTTTGGGATTCAATGGGTCAGAATTCATTATTTGAGTTATAACCTTACAATGATAAGAGAAAGTTCCAATATAGCTAAATGTAACATTTTGCACTGAATTTACTTCCATTACAGGTGAAGAACAAAATGCCGGCCCCAGTGCAAATCACTGCAGAGCAGCTGCTTCGTGAGGCTAAAGAACGTCAGCTTGAGATGGTCCCTCCAGTATGTATACTTTTTTATAATTAATCTTTTCTCATGGTTGATTTAAACTAATATTTTAAAATAAATTGAAAATAAATGAGAATATTTTGGTTCTACCGAATTCATGATTTGTTAAATGTTCACGAAATATTTAGAAGCATAGTATAAAGAACAATTTACAAATGCTCATCTAAGATATTACGTCTCATCTGTAAACATTGTAGTCAAATTTTTTTCGTTTTAGCCTCCCAAGCAGAAGATTTCTGATGAAGAGGAACTACAAGCATACAAACTAAGGAAAAGAAAGGTAAATATTTAGTATTATTGATGTACCATTTGAAAGGAACATTAAAACAACAAGCTATTCTGTATTGTAGCAAAAATATAGGTTACTGTAAATGTTGTATCGAGTACTCTTTCCGACAATATATTCGCATTGTTTTGTATGTATTCAGTTGTTTGTATTGAGTTGATTTGTATGTATTTCCAAGGGATTTGAGGATAATATCAGAAAGAATAGGTCAGTGATGACAAATTGGATCAAATATGCAGAATGGGAAAACAGCCAGAATGAAATACAAAGGTATGTAATGACTACACTAGGAATCCAACAATACATCAAAGTTAGATAACATATTGTAGGATCCCTTAAGCCTCAGTGCACATTTACTCTACGGCGCCCATATGACAGCCATAACGTTACAAAATCGATATAGAAAATCTACATCCAACTGCTTATCCCTATATTTTATGCTACATATTTTTCTTGATATTTGGAAGCTACGGACACTGTATGGTTGTCATAGATCAAATGTGATTATGGCATTAGTAACTGCCTTGTACTACTTTTAATTAATCAGTTTATTGTTTGAATATTTTTGTAAATTTCAAAAATAATGATGTTAGTCAAATAACTTTAATTAAATTCTATTTTGTGTAGTTGTTCCTAACTGGGAGTAAACAAAGTTTGACATGCATTAGTTTACATGAGATGAAATGATTTTTAATAGTTGAATGACTTTTTTAGGGCAAGATCAGTATGGGAAAGAGCCTTGGATGTTGACCATAGATGTATTACTCTATGGCTGAAATACGCTGAGATGGAAATGAAGTAAGAAACATTTAAACTTATGACAGTATTTACTATGCCTATATCTATCCAACCATGAGATGGAGGCTCATGATGGTCATACTTTGAAATAGAAATTTAGATAAAAATATTTGAATCCGAAAGATGGAGTAAATTGATATACAAGAAGTCCACATTTTAAATTAAAGAATGTCACATTAAAATAGAACATATAGAACATGCAGCTTTTTATTCAGTTTGAGAGAAAAGGCAAGCATTATAATTTTTTTATTTTGTAATTATCAGACTTTTTCCTATTGATTTCATTTGTTTGACTGTTGTCAGACATTCAAATGAAACCAATACCAAATAGGTATTCCGGGGTCTCTTTTATATGTAATGATATATAGAGTATATACTGTAGTCTTATTTCACCTTCCAGGAATCGTCAAGTGAACCATGCCAGAAACATCTGGGATCGCGCGGTGACTATTCTACCTCGTGCCAACCAGTTCTGGTATAAATACACATATATGGAGGAGATGCTAAAAAACCCAGCAGGTCTGAATTTCCTTAACACCACCCTATGTAGACTGAGCTTGCCTGATATGGTTGGTGCAGATCATGATATCTGCACCAAGAATTTGGTGAAAACATTCCTTTTAGTGATTGATGAACCACATTGTTTATTTATATTTATTGGAAAGGTTTTTATTTAGCACATTTTCATTTATAATTTGCAAAATGCTAAAGCCTATTTACAACAAAAATAGAGTACAATGAACAATAGAATAAAACTTTATAAATTTATCTATCGATATGTCCAGGTGCCCGTCAGGCTTTTGAAAGATGGATGGAATGGCAACCAGATGAGCAAGCGTGGCACTCTTACATCAACTTTGAACTTCGCTACAAGGAACTTGACAGAGCAAGAGCCATCTATGAACGATATATCCTTTCACGTACTTGATTAGTTGCAGTTTTTGTAGTAATTTATAAGAGTTTTAGTATTTCTCATTTTTTCTGTGCGATCTCATTTTTTTTCAAAACCAAGCCATCTTTAAATGTGAAAATATTTAGTTTGTTAATCCCTGACTTTGTGACTTTGATGATTATTCCATGAGACACACAAAGCCTAAATTATCATTTTGCAAGTTGTTTTGCATGAGCATTTTAGGCCAGTATTCATGTCTGTCCTGCAGGTATTGATAAACAATTTGATATTTTCTAGCAATAACTTTCATTATTTATGAGAATCTGTATATTCCTTAACTATTGCCACTTGTTATTATACATCCAGAAGTAAAAAACTGGATCAAATATGCAAAGTTTGAGGAAAAACACAGTTATATACACAGCGCAAGGACCATATATGAACGGGCGATTGAGTACTTTGGAGAGGATAACGCTGATGAAAAACTTTTCATTGCTTTTGCAAAGTTTGAGGAACTCCAGAAAGAGGTTTGTTGTTTAATGAATGATATTTCACAAAAGCTTGACCACCTATAATAATCCTTTTGGAAATGATTATTTTTGGTCTTCTTAGGCTTTTTAAGTGATCTGAACCTACAAGTTGTTAAAAAACTAATGGGGTATACTGAGGGACTCTTACAAGCCTAACGCAATGTGTTTTATGTTATTTCAGCATGACAGGGCAAGAGTTATCTACAAATATGCCCTGGATATCTTACCCAAAGACCGCTGTGAGAACATTTATCACCATTACACAATACATGAGAAGAAGTTTGGTGAGAAAGCTGGCATAGAGGATGTCATTATGAGCAAGAGGCGCTTTCAGTATGAAGAGGTAATGTTGATTTTTTTTAATATTAACCCCAACCCACTCCCAACCCTTGATAATACAATAAGCTATTGTAGTCCATTTCCAAGGGTTCATATTTGACCATTTTGACCAAAAATCACTTGAAAACTGCTCAGAATGGTGAAAAACTGCATCAACTTGAAATTATTTTTAGCTAGGGTGGGGATTTGAGTGCACCCAGTGAAGTGTACTTTTCGCGTAATTCTGTTGGGTGATTTAAATTTGCAATTTGAATGCTTACAGTTGAATCTGGTCATAAGAGCTTAAATTGTGTCCTGCTTAGTACCATTGAACCCTTACTCTAGTAGCACATGTTTAATGTACACAAGCAAATTAAGTCAATTATACTTACTTCACTGTGCTGTTACAGGAAGTGAAAGCTAATCCAATGAATTATGACGCTTGGTTTGATTATCTCCGTCTTGTTGAAAATGATGGCAATCCAGAGACTGTCAGAGACACCTATGAGAGAGCAATAGCGAATGTTCCACCTTCACAGGTAAGATTTATCCATGTCATTTAAGGAAGATCTTAGGTTTCACACATTGCTTAACACATAACTGATTCTTTTACTAATGAAAAATATTTTACAACCATTCAAGTTATTGTGTATTGTGAGTTGAATACAGTCGGAAATATTGGAGATTTCATATTTTTTGAATTCTCATTGCATGCCCAGAAAACAAAACAGAACAATGCTTGTGTCATTTTCTTTTGATTGGGTAAGTTGCTGTGAAGGTACAGAGACATCATATGTTTCAATATACTGTATTAGCGTCTCAGGGTGCTTAGAAAATTGTCCCTTCAGATCAATCTAATAAGCGCCTATATATGAAACAAGTAAAAAATCCCAGGGAATTATGGATGACAAATTGATCTATTTTAAAATGGTTTATTCATTCACTCCAGGTGAAGCGTCATTGGAGACGATATATCTACCTCTGGATCAACTATGCCGTATATGAAGAACTGGAGACAAAGGATGCAGATAGAACCAGACAAGTCTACCAAGCTTGCCTTGAGCTTATTCCACATAAAAAATTTACATTCGCAAAAGTCTGGCTACTTTACGCACAGTTTGAAATCCGCCAGAAAGAGCTGCAAAAGGCCAGACGAGTTTTGGTAAGAATTTTAGGGATTTCAGCTTCTGATTGTTATTACATGTGCATAGTATTGAACTGTTAGCCAAGAGGTCAAAATGATAATTGTTTCTGAAAGTAACATTCTGTTGTACTATTAGGTCTGTCCCTCCCTCCTTATATTTTAAGCTTAATGGCGATATGACATGCCAGATATAACTGCCTATTTCAATTTCAATGTCTTTTACTTAACACAAATGAGGTTTTAAGCCACTCAAAAAGCAACTTTAAATGACGCCTTGATAATTCAACCCAGTCCCTTAAATAGAAAACACAAGAGACAACATTTGTGTCAAGGTCAGTCATAGATAAACTAATAAATCCAAATTGGTAAAACCATTCATTAGTCTTTGTCTGTATTCATAGTTTTGCTCTGATATATCTTTAATAGATGGCGCTTTAAAAGAGAACTTAACATGGCACATGATCTAAACATTCTTTGATGAACTGATCCAAAATATTTTCTACCATTCCATTGTTTTTGTTGGTGTGTTCCTAAAGGCTGTCCCATCAATTTTATTCCATTATTATGTGACAGCCACACATTTTGGGACCAGTTTTATCATTTGATGCCGGTGATAAGAAGTCTTTAACAAAGTGTTACACTTTTGCATCCATTTACAATATTTTGCCATGTGGTAACATTTTGTCAAGTTAATGCTTTATTTGTGATAATTTATGTTTTGTGAAATAACATATCAAAAATGATAGCAAATGATGATTATGGGAAGGGAGTGGGATCAAACCTGATCTATTGAAACACAAGGACCAGTCCACAAATGTAGTAAAAATAGTAAAAATGTGCTTTTTTACAGGATAATGTGTATTGGTGCTAATGAAAATGTAAAAAATGTAATAAAGGTTCTGAAGGTGGAACCTGGTAATTGATGACAAGTTAAAGAGCTAAAAATAAAATCATCATCATTTTTTATCTGTGACTTATTGCTACTTTAAAAGTGTACTTTACAACAGTTAAGTGACAAATTGCCAGCAATGTTTTAATTAACCAACCAACTAAACAATAATTTGTTTACTACAAGCCCTCTCAAAAATATTTTCTAAAAACATGCAGGATGTAATCTACATAATATATCTGCTAAAATGGAAAATATGTTATAATTTGGATGGGGTCCAAATTTTGACAGTTGTGAAAAAAACTAAAATTGTTTTTTTGTGGGAGGATTAAATGTATATGATGAATGACAATGTTAATTGAGTAAAATAAAATAAAATCCAATTTTTATTTTCTTGGTGGGATGTAGTTAAAAAAACATTTTCTACAATAACTTTGGACATTAAAACAATAATTAATTTTTCTACATGTCAACTTTGGACACATTCTCTTAACATGCAGAAATGAGATCATTCAAAAAAGGACACCCCCTTTAAGGACTGTTTTTCGAATTATCCCTTTAACTATTTTACAATATTTCAATCATCGGGCCATGAAAAGTTCACTCATTTGGAGATTAACAAGTAACACTTCAACTGCTTCCTCATTTCTCTTGATTTATTACCTTAAAACACCCATCTGTTGTAATATGTTACAATTAACATTGCAATGTGAGCGCAGAATGCGATAAATACATATGTCTTCTATTAGGGATAGCTCAAAATATTGATAATCACTTCATTTAAGGTCAGTGGGCAAGATGGGGAATCTGGACAAAAACCTGCTTCTAAAGAGTTAGTAATGATTTTAAGCAAGCTAACAGCTAAATTTTGTTTGAAAGAATTGACGGGGGGGGGGGAGAATTTACTCAAGAGGAAATTTTCTTTTTTATTTGGTAAACATTGATGTTTTGACATGTTCCCTTAATTTATGGCATTACTCTGGTTTCAATAAAGACAAGTACTTCCTTCTTGCGACATGTCATATCAGCCATATAATACTTTCAACAATGTAACAATATTGTTCTTTTTCGTGATTATTTAACAAAATATTTTTCCACATTTCAAGAGGATTTATTTTGGTAAATTGCCAGGCACTTCATGTGCAAGTCAAGACTCCATGTGGTCTAAATTATAGAAATCATTTCATGATGTTTTCTATATAGTCGTAGATTTTGCATGCCGTGTTGAGTAACTGATCTGTGAGATTGAAACCATATTGAAATGTTAGTACTAATCAGTACTAATAAGGCAAACTGATGTAGAAGAATTGAACTCTCCAATTACCTTTTTGAATATCCTCTTTTCAAGAAGGTTCTACAACATTTATTAGATAATAGAGATTATCCTATAATCATTCAGAATATTTAGTGATAGTCGGGGTATTTTGTATGAAACTAGCCTGGAAGGTTCATCTTTGGTCCCTCTGTCAACTCTCCCTGTCACCACCATGCCACCCCAACCCACTCTCTTTCTTTTTCTGTTCGTCCCTCTCACACTTACTCAAAAAAATGTTGCAGTTTTAAACCCCAGAAATTTTCCACTTTTTTCTTTTGATTTCTTGCCCTCCATAAAAAAGAAATTAAAGCTATTTTCATAGAAATCTGCAAAAGATTGGAAACACATGGGTACAAAGGATCCTACAGTTCTAAAGGGTAGTAGACATACAAAAAGGCAATTTTTGCAGAATTGGATCAGACCCTTTTGCTTGAAAGAACCCCACTTGCAAAAACAATGGTAAATTTGCAGATATATTTCTGTTTTCTTTGCAACAGGGAACAGCGATTGGCAAATGTCCCAAAGACAAGTTGTTCCGGGGTTACATCGACCTGGAGATCCAGCTGAGAGAGTTTGAAAGATGTAGGATTCTTTATGAGAAATTCCTTGAACATTCACCAGAGAATTGCACCACGTGGATGAAGGTAATATATCTTAAAATAATAAATCATCCCATACCCTCATCTGTGAAGGAAATAAACGCACTCTTGGTTGAATAAATATGTTAAAACAGATCTTCTCTATGGAACTGCTGAATCTATCTGCAATATTGTTTAAAATACCTCATTCCAAAACAAAGTTTGCAACTGCTTATGCTTTTGTCTGTTTGATATGAGAATGAACTTTCAAATCTTCTCTCCAGTCTGTAATAGAGTCACAAGTAAGGATAAAGAGAAGCTGTCTTTTCATGTATTAAAGGCCCCATATAAAGTTTGAACCACTTTGGTTCAAAAAATTGTGAATTTGTTTAAAGCTAAATTTTCGAGGTCACATGTTTAATAAGCCATAATTCACCTCAATGCATAGCATTCATCCTTGTGTAATTTTTGTCAAAAAACGAGGAAAATTGGTTGATAAATAAGTGGGAAATGAACTCATCCATGCATGATAGTGGTTCAGAGAAAAATACATTTTGAAATTTCAGCTTGCTATGGGCCTTTAACCAGTTGAACCTTTTGTGTACCCTAAACAATTTAGCATCAAAAACTCCTCAAACCATCAAAAATAAAATATCAACTAATTGACTCATGGCCTGACAAGTAACTAAGTCACCACCAGAAGTGGTGACATATTGAATTATCATCTCCAAATTTTGGTGGACGGTATTCACCATCTGTAACATATGGCAGGTCATGACATTTTGCATGTTAATGCCTTCTATGAACATTACCTTGCCCTGCAATTTCAGATCAGCCAAGTTTGAAAACCTTAGTTTGTCAATGTAAAGGTGATTTTTTTACATATAAACAAACAAACAAATAAACAAAACAAAAACATAATAACAAACATTTTTATTGTAAGAAGTTTTATTAACATTATCGTTTTTTTAGACCTTCGATGTAGAAACTGAATGAATTTGTCATGTGGTCCCTGTGGTACCTGGAGTCAGCCCCTTTAAATGCTTGTGCACAGTTCAAAACATAAATATCTTGGTCCTGGTCATTTTTAGAACACTTGGTGTCATTGTGATTCTGAGAAAATCTTCCACGTTTACATAAGAGATAACTCTATACTGCAAGCGATGGCCATCACAAGCAGCAGTCACAAGAAAGGTGGAATAATGGGACATGCTTCATCATTCTCCAGGTGCCACATCGTTAATTCGACATGTAGGTTATATCCTTCATGATTCGAAACACTCACTAGCTTATTAAGGTCAAGAAAATATTCATCAATTCGAGCACCAAAACCTTATTGATATTCTGCATGTTTCATAGAAATCCACACTCCCAATAAAATGCCTCAAGAGTTTCAGCTATTGATTGTTGCAATAAACAAATTTTTTTCCATCAGCTGTTTGTATTGTTGTGATACCTGTATTGTCGGCAAACCCATTGCAGTCTCGGAGATTGGTCTCTGGAAAATTTTAGAATTTTTTTTAAATGCCTCTGAAAGTATTTTCAAATTTTGTTGAAATAATACATCATTTTAATAGCCAATCTGCCAACTCCATGGCATCCAGAAACTAATTTTCTTTGCCTAAACATAGAACTTGTTTAAATACCTGTGTAATAAAAACCATGCTTAGAATTAATTAGAGAGGCACATGTGCTCTTGTATTTGGCATAAAAATAATGGTTTACATTCAGCAAAAAGTAAATAACCAAAAAAGACAAAAGTTTATTGAAATAGATCCAGGATATTGCTAATCTGAAGCTATTTTTCACCCAGTTTTGTCATGAAAACGTGAAAGTATGGCATAATACAGAGTCATATGAGAAAAATTTTCTTGTACTTGTACCTGTGCAAAACCGTCCATTCTTGACTCGCTTTGATAATGTTTCTTTATCTCGTCTGCGACTCGATAAAGAAGAATTATCAAAGCTCATCAAGAATGAAAGATCTTGCACAGGTACTCATATAAGAACCTTTATATCTGTATTATAACCTACGTCATAACAATATTGTAGATAATACATGGATACGCATGACAACCAAGCTCCATTGTTATGACGTCACATGTTCGTTTTGTATAATGAGCATGGATATACTCATAGCAACGGTGTATCTGTTGCTATGTTGTTGATGTTTATAAACAAGTGATGTCACAAGTAAATCTCATCTTGCACGTGTGACTTTTTAGGATGAAAGATGGCAATATAATATCTTGCATGGGGTAAAGATGGCTGTATCTTTGTTAGTCATATGAGCTTGTCTCTGTGTTAAGGATCCATTAGTCATCATATCTCCTCTTTGGATCAAATTTGTTAACAGGATTTTTGGAAAGAAGTTGACAAGTTGAATTCAAATTAACAGGATTCATTTTGAGTTGATAAGTATTGAGCAGCTGCAATTTCCACGTCATATTGTCCCATATCAATAACTGACGCTCTGATTTTTGATGGCACAGCATTGTAAAAATGGCCAATGTTGTAGTAGTGCACTGGCGGATCCAGAAGCCAAGAGGGGGGGGGCATATTTCAAATCAGAAAAAGTTGTGCCTCTAAATCCAAAAATTGGGCCCAAATTAAAAAAATTTAAGGCCCATTTTTTGATAATTTGGCCTATTTTCTGCCTTACTATTATAGAACAATAGAATATATTTTGCCAATGATTTTAGCTTAGATACTAATAAACCACCTGATCCTCTGGCAATTCTGTTCGATACATATCTGTTGTCTGTTGACGTCATTTCTTGCTAATTTTAGTGTTTTATTCTATTTTTTGTTTTGCAGTGATTAACTATACAATTTATGAAGAACTAAATTTTGTAAACAGATGAAACATTTTGGCATTTTGAAAAACTACATTGCCATAGACAAAGGTCATTGTGACCTACTTTAAATATGATATTGGTCATCAAACGCATAATTTTAGAGTTTCCCATCTCTCGAGTATACATTTTCTCCAGTGTTATGTTACAAGATATCGGAAATATGTCGGAAATACTTCTCAGGGTGTGCAAACATTTAATAATGAGATCATTGGCTGGTTGATACCATCCAATAGAGATTCAAAAATGCTTATCATTTTTGTCATTTTTTGGTAGTCTATAACTGATAAGTGCTGCTTTCACATGCAAAATAAAAATAGAATTGCGGTTGTAAAAAGTAAAAACAAAAAAGATAGTATAAACACTAACATGTTCATTCAGTTGAAGATTTAAAAAAATGCCCAGAAATAAGCATGACATGCAGGGCCTTAAAGATGATAAACTCATTGCAGTCTTGAAGAGTGGTTCAGATAGGTAGGTATGGATTACAGATTGCGAGATCACTATGCCCTCCGACAATTTGCCAGCGTGATGAATTTCGATTGTGCAATACGATATCAGATAATTGTAAAGTACAGATGTTTTAACTTAATGCTGATTAAAGCAACGTTTCAACATGTTTCACCACAAAACTTTAGTTTATCCAGATGGCAAAGGGGAAAGTAAGACACAACTAGTCATGATATTTCATTCTAAATCTACATAATTATAATTTCTTGAAATTTTAAAAATCCCAATTTTTCATAATGTGTTTGAATTTTCACATTCTCAACCATTTACCGTTAAATGATTTTGTGCCCTTTTCATAATTTTGAGCATTTGTGCAAAATTCCAAGACCTTAAAATGTTTGAGTCCTTTTGAAATTTGCTGACCTTCAACCCCCCCCCCCTCCACTCCCCCTCCCCTCATTAGTACATTGAAGTACAATGTAAAACATTCTGTATTTGCAGTATGCTGAGCTAGAGGGTATCTTAGGAGACATTGAGAGGTCAAGGGCAGTATTTGAGTTAGCCACCTCACAGCCACGCCTAGACATGCCTGAAGTACTCTGGAAGGCATACATAGACTTTGAAATAGAGCAAGAGGAATGGGAAAACACCCGCATGTTATATAGACGCCTCTTGGAGCGTACACAGCATGTTAAGGTATATTATGAATGATATGAAAAATTGCTATTATTCACACATGCAGAGTTTAAGATAAGAGGCTATGTCGTAAATTTGACTGTTTTTTGGAAAGAGTTTTATTGATTTGGTATATTATGGTTACTCATTTTGTTCAATGGGGTTTGCTATTCTGTGGATTTCCCATGATATCTGATTTGTTACACGATATTACAAATATTCTTTTCTAAAGGGTATCAAATAATAATCTGTTGTTTTCAGGTCTGGTTAAGTTTCTGCCAGTTTGAGCTGTCGATACAAGAGCCAACCAATATAGAGAATACTCGCTCTGTGTATAACGAGGCCAATAGATCTATGAGGAACAATGAAAAAGAAGAGAGACTCATGCTACTCGAGGCCTGGAAGGAGTTTGAGGTAAGATTATCAAAAAAAATCATAGATTCTTGCATCGAGTCTCTAGCTTGAGTTTAATACATTTTTTAAAGCATTTGTAATCATGGTCTATTCCTCATCTTTTATTTCTGCTCGATTGGAAGTGATCTGGGACGTGTCTTTTTAAAACAGGATGTATATGACGTCCTAGTCTTTTTAGAGATAATTTACAGTTTTATAGAATATTTTCTTTTTTGAATGGTTGTAGTATGAACATGGGGATGAAGGATCTCAGGAACAAGTTGATAAACAAATGCCAAAAAAGGTCAAGAAAAGGCGAAAAGTACAAACGGAAGATGGGGTAAGTTACATATTGCTTATTTCAAATATTGTAATATTCCTAAATGTAATGTTCATAAAACTTCTTTATATCTTTGTTATAGTTGGTCTTTCAGAGCAGTATTATTGTCGATCATTAGAGACACTTCTTTAATCGCCTATCTCTGCTCTACGTTATCAATCAAACTTTTTTCAATGTCATCATCTTTTGTATTATCAACTGGTTGGGGATTTTCTCTTGAAATTTTAACACATTTGAGCACTAAGCCTGTACCAGTTATGATAACCAGCACAACAAATGTTATCATTAGACCCAGAATTTGGTTACTCATGGCTTTATCTTCTCCATCATCTTCTTGATCGGAGTTAGTGTTAACAGAAAATTGGCAAGAAGTTCCAGACCAGTTTGGCAGGCATATACAAGTCTTTGTGTCTGAGATCAGTCTGCAAGTGCCACCATTTAAACATTTGGGTGAGCACTCAAGTGAATTTAGTTCAGGTGGTGTTTTTGGCAGAGGTGGTTGTGTTGTTGTTGCTGTTAATGGTGTTGCAGTTACAGACTTCCATATTGTAATCATTGTCAGATAAAAAAGTAGAAGGCTATATGTTCTGTCATATCCTTTTAATGGTTCCATTGTTCCTCTCTAGCTTATATATCTTATATCCACGTAATTGAAGTTGTCTAATTCCAATGTTGCTCTCATTAGCTTAACAAATATTTCACTTATTCATTTTCTGGGTTTCCTGATGTCACAGTTATATTTCCTATTTTGGTGTGATATATTGTTAATTTCAATATTTCCTATTTTATGATATCCATCCACGTAAATGAAGTTGTTTTTAATACATATGTTGCTATAAACAAATATTTCACTTATGCATTTTATTCGTTTCATGTCACAGTAATATTCCTATTTTGATGTTCTGTGATGCCATAGTGATTTTTCTTTCTTGATTTGTCATGGTGACATTGTTAATTTTTTTACATTATTTTATGATGTCACAGTTAGGTTGGTAATTTTCAGAATTATTCTTCAATGATGTCATATTAGGATCTTTTTAGTTATGTTGTTTTAAGATTAGTACAATACCATGGTAACATTCGCAAGTAAGTTTGCTATTGTGATGATAGTGATGTTTCCTAGGCAACACAAACTGATTGAACAAACATCGATAGTCATTTTGAAGACAGAGCTTGTGCAAATATGCCGAAAACAGAACCAATATGAAGGAATTTATTACTCAAATTGGTGCACAGAAGATCTAGCCAAACTCAAATTATGAAATGAGTGATATTGTGTTTTATTGTCAAGCACGCTTGTAAAAGAGTGCCCCTGATACAAAAGCATATTTCTATACAAACAAATAAAATAATAAAACAACAACCAACACGCCAAATGTTATTATAATACCCAGAATTTGATTACTCATTGCTGCAACTAATCTTTCGTCTTCTTGGTTGGAGTTAAAGTTATGGATAACAGAAAATGCACATGACATCCCAGACCAGTTTGGCAGGCATATACAAGTCTTTGTGTCTGAGATCAGTCTGCAAGTGCCACCATTTAAACATTTGGGTGAGCACTCAAGTGAATTTAGTTCAGGTGGTGTTTTTGGCAGAGGTGGTTGTGTTGTTGTTGCTGTTAATGGTGTCGCTGTTACAGAGTTACATATTGTAATCATTGTCAGATAAAAAAGTAGAAGGCCATAATTCCTATATGCTCGGTCATATCCTTTTAATGATTCCATTGTTCCTCTCTAGATTATATGTCTATTATCCACTTAACTGAAGTAGTATTATTCCAATGTTGCTATGCATAAATGATTCACCAATTTATTTGTTATGTTGTCTCATGATGTCATGCCTTGATGTTCTGTGATGTTCTGTGATGTCAAAGTGATTATTTCTTATCTTTCTTGATTTGTCATGGTGGCATTGTTGATTTTATAACATTATTTTATGATGCTATCCACTTAAATTGAAGTCGTATAATTCGAATGTTGCTATAAACAAATATTTTACTTATTATTTGTTTTGTTGTTTCATGATGTCATAGTAATATTTTTCCTATTTTGGCGTTTTGTTATGTCAAAGTGATTATTTATTTTCTTTCTATTTGACATAGTGACATAGTTAAATTTGTAACATTATTTTATGATGTCATAGTTAGGTTGGTAATTTTCAGAATTATTCTTTTGTGATGTCATATTAGTATTTATTTGGTTACATTGTTTTGTGATTAGCACAATAACATAGCAACAGTCATATTATATTATAATGTTGGTGATGTTTCTAGACAACACAAACCAATATTGAACAACATCAGTAGTCCTTTAGACAACAAGACACTTGTGCAAATATGCTAACTATCAGAACCAATATGAAGGAATCCATTGTTCAAAATGGTGCTCGGGAGAAATATCTGACCAAACTTAAACAGCAATTTCGCATACTAGAGGGAGGCAGAAAGGCTTACAAGCAGGAAATTCAGAATGTGTTGAGGAAGCAAAGTTCCGAGATTTTAACCCTAGAAACCAAACAGAAAGAACTACACATCAGTCTGAGGAACACACGGAGCCCCGGTTTGAAAGCCAAAGATAAAGAAAACATGAAGAAGTTAACTGGTTTGATAAAGACCAAAGAAAAGTATATGAAACAAATAGAAAAAGAAAAGAGGAGGAAAGAGAGACAAAATGAGCAGATACGAATTCTAGAAAAACAAGTGAGGATTGCATCTGAGAAGAATTTGGATTCTTCAGATCATCATGAACATGTATCTAAGAGGAGGCAAATCGAAACTCTTGAAAACAAAATTAGTAATATGACATCTCGTTTCAACCAACAACTGACAAAAAACACTGAGAGTCGCAACCAGATTGATCAGTTCAGAGGAGAACAGCGTGTATTTGAAAAACATTATAAAAAACTGGATATGGAACTGATGAAAACGAAACAGGAAGTTCGTGAAATCACAGAGAAGATTGCTGCCATCTATGAGCAAGGTGATGAAGTTTTAAACAAGATGGCTACCTTACGAGAAAGCAGAATGAAAGAAGAGGCACAATTTGAGAATGAAAAAAAATACCTGAATCGAATTATCATCAATGATAAAATGATAAATAATTTCATGGAGATAAAGTTAAAAGAAAGGAATGAATATAAAGATGAAGAATCTTTGAAAAGAGCGATGATACATAAGGAGATGTCCAAAGAATCTGATCAGCAACTGTTATCAGATTATGAGAAAGTATTAGATAGAATCAAAGAGGTTACCAAGAAAGATGCCGTTGATGCTATTGTGGAAAGTTTTATCAACAATGAGGATGAGAACTTTGGCCTGGTACATCTTATTAATGAGTTAGATTGTGAGATAGAATCTATTCAAGGTGAACTATTGTCCATAGTTGAAGAGATCAACGATTTTAAATCTCAGAGAAAAGACACTGAACTTAAAAAAACTGAGGAATACGTAGACCTAGATGCATTGCTATCCAAAGCAATTGTGAATGACAAAGACCTTGTACAGCAATTAAAACACAATGGTGAGATCCTGGATGAAGTTGCAGGAGGAGTTAGCAAAATGTTTCTGAGATTAGCAAGCGATGCCAAAACTTCAGAGGATGACATGGGTGACAAAGATGGTGTACACTCATCTAATATTCTGAAATACTTTGGCATAATAGAACACATGGTCGATGAATTTTTAGACAAATCTAACATAAAATCAAAACCACCATATCAATCAGACACACATGAGGCAATGAAACAATTGGGCACTCAGCAAGCTACTTCTTACGTGAAAGCTCCCTTACCCGAATCTGACCTTGCATGTTCATTAGAAGTAGGAGAAAGAGACACAAATCATGATAGACCTTTAACCATAAAAGACCTATATTTCGCATGTACCGTGCAATATGTAGGAGTTCAAAAATGATGTGATTATACTTAATTATTTTGGATATTCATGTACTTTTGTAAAACAAAAGTCTATACAGGCTAAAATGATTGTCGACTCTGATTCATTAACTAACAAAATTCCTACGGACAATTACATGTTAATTGCTTATTAAATGTCTTCAAATATTTCCTGCTCAATAAAATTTAAGAACTGGTAATTTCAGCAATAAAGGAAGTGTGTGTTTTGTAGAATACATGTAGACAGGATGATAACACTTCACATCTGTTCTTAACCAAACGTCATTGTGGGAATCTGGAATCATTTTGTAGTAGAGTGGGCCCCAGGAGGGATGATGTTTTTTCTTCTCTTTTAACATTATAGTACTAATTAAATCAAACTTCAGTGCACTTTAAAATTCAAGCTTTAATATCCAAGTTTGTGTGGCTATAGTCACATATGGGAAACTTTTTTTGAACAATTTCATACAAGCTTTCTTTTGATGTTTATACAAATTGTCTTACTCTTACATGTATGGACTGATACTCATTAACCTTCTGCACTCCGACTTATTTCAGCAAATATATCCCACGCATCTGACTTATTTTTCAAAAATGATATGCCTGGACTAAATAATTAATATCTCAATAACTACTGAATGAATCTGGATAAAATTTTCACAAAGGGAAGATACACTAGCGTGGCTCATGAGAAAAATGTTCTCATGAATTTTTTTCGTACATAAACACGACTGGGCTTGAATATACCATGAATACTCCTCCAGAATCCGCCGTTTCGCCCCTCGGGAGATTCAACGTCTGGTCAGAATCCAAAACTGAATTTGCAGAGATCGAATTTCTTCTTTTCAGTTCAGAAAATATTCTAGTTTCTATTTTCGATGACCATTATCGGCTTCCAAGAGCCTAAAGAGCTCGAAATCGCAATCCATTTCCTCCACATTTTCGTTGTGATCGTATTTGGCCGTCATTTTGTACGATTTGTTCACTAAAAACGACTTAAACACTGTTGAATTGTTGAATTGAGAAATATTTTTCGAAACATCGCCATTTCTAGGTCAACAGGAAGTCACCTACTAAGGACTGAATAAATCGGGCAATCTAATTGGATCATAAGAACGGCGGGAAAAAGTAAAGTTTTCAAAAGTTAGATTTGTGTCGTCCGGATCCGCCGGTGGATTCTGGGGGTAGTTTTGAATGGGCGGACGCGGTCGCCGGTGGCCTGCTAAAGGTTAACAACCATTAAAGTTGAGTAAAGTTAAAATAGCATTATGATGGTTCAAATTATATAATGTATTCATAACATTCAACCACCCTATACAAACAGTGCTTGCAGAAAATACTCAGTGCGGAGAACATTATTTGATATGTTCTACCTCTAAACACTTGGTGTGGATAAGACATGATCTACACATATATGAATCATATTTTTCTCTGAAATGGGGGATGAACTTTTATCATTTTTAGAAAATATGCTTCTGAAGGAATGATATGAGCCTAAATTGTATTGTATTTTGTTTACCACCAATGAAGGTGAGCAATACCTCTTGGCTATATCCTATATACGGTCGTAATTAACGTAATTAACCTGGAAGATAGACCCAGAAACCCCTCCTCAAAGCAGCCCTGTGTTCTTTTATGTGCACCCATACATAGACATACAAGTACACCCACAGCCTTTGGTACGAGTTGCGGACCACTCAGTCAAACACCTTGAAGTACTTTACGCAAACAGGCAAATTAAGTCTTGCCTGAACCGGGGATCGAATCCGGGACCTACTGCTCAAGAGGTATACGCGCTACTACTGAGCTATATGGGTGGACTTTAACATTTGAAAACATTATAAAGACCTCTATGTATTTAATGATACCTTAAGTGTGCTAAAAGTATTATTTATGTGTCATTTCAGGTTGACGCTGGCTGGGAGGAGTATTACGACTACATATTTCCCGATGAGGAGTCTGCACAACCAAGTCTTAAACTACTGGCCATGGCAAAACAATGGAAACAACAGACTGGAGATACGGACAATCAGGGACAGTCAGATGAGGAAGGATCTGAATCTGAATCAGAATCTAGTGGGTCCTCATCATCATCATCATCTGATGCTGAGGAGTCATGACCCTCTTTGACGCTATATATGATGAGGTCAAAGCATTGAATTTTGCTCTGCAGAAATGTTTTTGTCTTATTGTAAAAAATGATGGATCAACAACGCCCGACGATTCATATTGCACAATCAATTCTAGGAATACTTAAGAATAATGAATCAGAAAAAACGGAGGTTTCTGATCAATTTTCGATTTCAAAATAATGTGCATCAAGTGCATAAATTCATGTCAACTAGAAAAATGTTTTATGGTCAAACTGAGGAGAAACAAATTCCCTTTTTTCTTGGCCTAATATTAGGTTTGTCATCAAGGATATTAAATCTTGTCGAGTCCTGACAACTGAATTGTTTAATTTCCTGAATATTTTTGGACAGAGTCATCGTGGGTGTGTTAAATTAATAGTTATGGATATGATTGGTAACAGAGGATGCTACCCAGGGTGCATAAGTGGCAATGGTGACATTTACACGGTGATTTTAACGTGACTAACCAGCGATGAATAACTTGACGTGGTGAAATGACATCTATCATGGGGATGTATATCATATATTTTCATATTAAATGTGAAATAAACATGTTTTATATTTCGTAATTGTGTATTATTATATTTTTGGGATAATCATCTCATGCTGTAACTGTCAATTTAAGTAATGGTGATTTTGTGCCATTTCTTTCTACATTTTCAAAGAATGGTTTTATTTTCCTACACATTTTCATGTTTCCTAGGTTTTTATAGACACGTCTGTTTATATTCCTTGCTTATTTCACCCTTTTCCATTTTGTGAAAAATTACTGATTTCAATCTTTATGAATAAACAAGCAAGAGAAAAAAAGTTACAGTTACAGAAATTAGCAATACTTACTGAACGATTCATATCTATAAGGGGCTAAAAATCATGATTTCTTAGGTAGGTGTACTGTGAAAGAGCCAGAGGCGAAAGATGGGAATGATTGACATGTTAAATGGTTTGCATGGGCATACATCTCAATATTCAAATTATATGACACATTAAACAATACATGTATTCATTTCCTTATGAGCAACTTGTCTTGGCAAGAAAGGTATTTGATTTAATAATGTGATAAAAAAGTGGTGTGATAGTCATGTTTTACATTTTTTTAAAAACTATTTGAAATAACACCAAATGTTTTAGAGGTCCGAAAAATGCCCAAGATCCATTTTCAGGATCATGAGTATCTGCCCGAGATCATTATCAAAACAATATTGAAGAAAAAGTTCTAAAGTTTATAATGTAACAATCGCTACAGAAAAATATGTTTTAAATTATGTCACCACCACAAATGGTGACATATTATTATGGTCTCCAACTTTTTTGTGGATGGTGTTTGGTGGTTGGTGTTCGGCATTTAGTATATGTAACAAATGGCAGGTGGTGACATTTTACATGTTACTGTCTTGTTTATGTCATACAATAAAGACAACTTGAGTATTATAAAAGATTTCAAAAGCATTGTCTTGAATTGGTGACTGTTGTGAATGTAGCTAAATATTTGCTAATTGTTTATCATTGAAGTTATGGCATCATGTTAATTAAGAATTGGAAGCCAAATTGTCATTAGTGTATTTTACTTTAATCATATTGAATGATTTATCACCCATTTTAATATATGGCTTCATTTAATGATATAATAAGGTTAGTAAACTTATCTTGTCATTTTCAAGATCATCTTTCAAGACGAAAGTAATAATTTGAAATTCTAGGGATAATTTTGAACAAATATTGAATTGGTAGCAATTCAGATTATTTTGACTCATCAGTGGATTGTCTTGGTACAAATAGCATTCTATCATACACTTTATACAAATAGTGTTTATCATAGAAATCAAGGCACATTTTGGATTATTAAGAATTAAAGAATTTAAAAGTGCCTTGTCCAAGATAAGGTGTGACACTTTAAATCTGACACTATGTATGTAGTTAGTAGGATTAGAGAATGGATGGAAGGACGTGCCTTATCAGGTGTTAACCCTAACATATCTTCAACTCCCTGGCCTTCTACAACGTCACAGCAGCCTAGTGGCCTTCAAGAGAAATGGCCTGCACAACAGACTGGGGTAAGTTCATATCAAATAGGCATTATTTACAGGTACATGTGTTTTAAAAAGAAATTGCACATATCGATGATTGTGTAATTGTGCATCACAAAAAGGCAATATCTACATTGCATTATAATATATGTACATTTAGTAGAAAATATTTAAATTGTATATTTTGAATTGGCAAGTATATAGGGTGTACTATCTAGTATTTACATTGTCCATAATAAATATGCATAATTATTGATATGGTAAATAATGAATATTTACATTGTATATAATAAATAGTCATTATTTATATTGTACATAATAAATAAGCAATATTTACATTGTATATAATAAGGAGTAATGGCAATATTTTGCATTGTATAAAATAAATAGTAATTCTTCATATTATCCATAATAAATAGGCAATATTTACATTATATATGATAAATAGTAATTATTTATATTGTACATAATAGATAGGAAATATCTACATTGTACATGTTGTATACAATAAATAGTAATTATTTTTATTGTACATAATGAATAGGCAATAATTACTTTGTGTATAATAATTAAGATTTATTTAAATTGTATATAATAAATAGGCGATATTTACATTGTATATTAATAAAAATAGTAATTATTTGATACTTAATATAAGTCAGACATTTATATACGAGAAGATGTAAATACTATTCAAGGTTTCAATATTTACAATATGCAATATATGAGCTGGGGCATTTTCACTGGCAATGTTTAGATAGACTTCTGAAACAATTATTGTATAATTTTTTATATTTGTGGGTCCTGTATATTTTAGATCTTTTTGATCTCCCTGATATAATAATATTAGACTGTTTCCGGCAGAATGATATAATAATCTTAGATTATATTTTAGATATCATAGCTAATCTTTTTGATATTGTAACTTATTTAATATATTTAACATTTTATAATCTTCTTGATATCATAACCTATTTAATATATTTAATATTTTATAATCTTCTCGGTCTATTAATCTTTGATTACATTTTATTATAATCTCCTTGATGTTATGACATTTTGAATATTTTTAAGATATAATCTTCCTGAAACAGTAACTCTCTGAATATATTTTATTATATATTGAACTCTGGTGATAATGCAAATTTAAAATTTTTTGTCTGTATACTAAAATTTTTTGCATAATGCAGTATGTAGTAGATCAAAAATAATGTGATTCTACTTGACCTCAAAATTTTGCAGAATTAATTTTTTTCAGTTGATCAAAGAACCGAAAAATGCTATCTCTACCATGAGCCAACCCCTTAAGAAGATATGTAACACTGAGGCATCCCTTCCTCTATTTCTAGAAATAGTTCTTATTATGACATCTCACATTATCTAAGTGACCAGTTTCACCCAATTATTGGAAACCTTAAAGCCTATACATGAACTGATGATGTACCACTTTATGATATTCCAAATTAAATTAACTTTCCAATGGTATGTTCTGGTAACTTATCTTGAATAATCTAATATTACTAAATTCTACTTGAAACATGAATTTTTATTTCGTCTGTTGTTACAAACCTAGAACTTGAAATCCTGAGTGTTTATGAAGTGTGTATGGTCTTTATCATGGATGGAATGAAGCCAAGGTCTACAGATGGTCACAGATAAATTAAGTTAAGGTCAAGCATGTAGAAATAATATCTAGATATTGATTCATGTTTAGCATGACATCATGGGCCATCATGGATTCAGCTAGATGAGTAAACTGAAGTACATTAGAATTTTGATTTATTTGTTGATTTTAAAATTTCCCTTGAGATAGTTGAAAATATTTTATTTGTTTATCACTTGCGGTCCCTATTCAGTTTTTTCCAAGGGGGTTCACTTTTTAAAAATCCAGGGGTGTTCACATTTGACAACCTTAGGTCACAAATCACTTGCTCACTTGAGTGAACTACTACATGATTTTGAAAGAAATTTTAGCCGGGGGGAGGGGGAGGGGGGCTGTGGACCTGCGGATCCTTTCTTATAATATTCCCTCTCCACTATAATATCTCAGCCTGGCCCCCCAGTGCTTTCCCATCTTATCTGACCCCATCTACCCTCTCAGGTTTGTATCTACTATCTAATATTTTTCTGATTATTCTATGACTATTTTATTTGACATATTTAAACCTGAAATGAATTTTACCAAGCTTGCAGTCTTTCCAAATTTTTTCGCACTTGAACGAACTTCAAAGAATAGACCTGGAAGATGCCTCAGTTGGTCCTCATCGGTGAAAACTTTTTGAGATAGCCCCTAATAAGTATTATTGACAGATAGTCTGGAAGAATCCTGTTAGGTTCTCTGAAGTATGACTTTCATAATCAGTGGGTTGAGCTGATCTCTCAGCTTACCCTCAACAAGAACCAAACCCTGCAATTTTATCTATAATTTCAATTAGAAAAGTTCTTATATTGGTCTTATCAATGGGTATTGCTAAATGAATTTAAAGATTAACCCCCAGATCCTGCCTGGTCTGAGATACATTTAGGCTATTTAATTTTGATGAAGAATGTTAGTGGCAGTTCAGTGAGGTGTGTGATGTAGGCTAAACTAGTAAGGAAGATGTCTCAGTGATTCTAGGTTCAGTGAAATATATCCATCCCTCCTAGGACCTTGCCAGACTGAACCGTTAAATATCTAGTACACTGCAGGAGCGCACTACACCAAACTACACCTGCATGCATTTCCATACTCATACCTCATGCTATGCGTACAAATAATCTCAACGATTATTAAATTATCACAGCTTTGATTTGATAAATTCGTCAAACTAATATTAATTTAAGACACAATTGGATAATAAGATTTAGGGTTTTACTGGGCTGTCTTATTGGTGTAAATTTCGCAGGGATATATCTAGGCCCACAGCTGTTTTGATCAGTTGGAAGAAAGAAGCTGACAGAATAGGGCTGAGTGCAACATCATAGCCTTACTTAAAGTACTTTCTGAATCTAAAAAAATCACAAAAAAAATTAATGATTCAATTATGTTGAAATTTTGTTAAGATTGTGATAAACGAAGACAATGCAATGACGGCATAGCAGTAGATTTAGATCCGTGCTATGATAAATTGGGACTCATTTGCTAAGTGCAGTTTCAATCGACTATTGATTCCAAGAGAGTATGGCGTCATTCAGGGACTAGATCTTCATCTAAGGACAATACTCAGATACGAAATCAGTTTTCGGATCTATTCCAAAACTGTAACAACCCAGATGCTAAATCTTGTGATATAACTTATTTGTGATACATTCATGCAAATGTGAACAATCGCTGAATCAGTTGTGACGATTACTAACATTTTGGTGTATTTATATTCACTGTAATAGGTTCTCCAAGTTGATGTCCTAGACAGTACAAGTATGCAGATCTCAATTCAACAACACACTGTGATGATGTTACTCCTGGTGTCCATTCTACACCAGGGAGCAATTGCCAAGCACAAGAGAAAATGTGGCGTATGTGATAAGAAACAATGCACATTATATTCCGGGGGTCCAGACAATTGCCCCGGGGAGCTTATCTGGGATAAATGTCGTTGTTGCAAAAAGTGTCGCATTGTGAAGGACAAGATGACGTCGGAGCAGATACAACAGGAGCAAGACATGATGTTACGTCCAGATATTCTCGAGAACCCACCCAGCATACATAACCATCCAGTCATGCATAAAGCCAATGATACAGTTAGTAAGTACAGAATTTCTTATTTGTTCTTGGTAATGAAACCATGAATAGCAACAAAAAAAGGAGCCACAGCTAAAAATTGACACTGTTATAAGTAATGTTTCATTATAGGTGTTCCCATTATACTGTTCTGTGAAACACCTATTTTCGCATTCAATTTTCCTGAATTTAATTTACATTTAAATGACTTTAAGAAATTCTGAAAACATAAGTTGTGAAAAAAGCTTTAGAGAACACATCTGAAAGACAATGCATCATTAAAATGAATGAATCAATAGCAAATTCAAATAAGATATGAATTGTGTGATTTAACTCAAATATATAAATATAAAAGTGTAAGACTTCATTTGTGAATTGAACAATAGTTCAATACACTGCACAATTATATTAAGTGAACTATCTTAATTGAAAATAAAACTTGTGATATAACAATGTGATATTTATAGCACAGTTATTAGACTGAAAGTTGAATCCAACTGAATAATTATTTGTTGAATTGAACCCAAATTAACCTAAGTGGTTATATTAAGTAATTGATTCATTGAACAAAAGTAGTCTATTCAAGATTGAATATGGTAGAAGTCTTGTGGCTTACTCCAATGACTTAAATGTATGTTTTGAGAAATTATGACAACACAGTATGAGAAAAAGAGTTAATGGTGGCTTTTTGGTTTCTATGGGTTTCTATGGTGATTGCTTATACTGTTTTATTTTCTACAATTTAATCATGTTGAACAAGTAAATTGAATTGAATCATTGAATATTATTTTATTTCTTTAGGATTACATTTTTGACTGAAATGACCAAGAACAAATGGGTAAATGGGTTCGTAAAGTTCATCAAAAGTATGGTTTACGCAATTTTCACCATATCTCTCTGATGGGAGTCACCCTTTAATATCTTGTGGTTATATACCATGGTGGTCCAAATTCTCAAATTTATAAACCTAACTTTTCCATATAAAAAAAGAATTCACTGAGGAAAATGGAAAATACATGGCACAGGTACAATAATCACAATAAGGTTTCTATTGGTTTACTTTACAAATGAAGAAACAAAATTTAAAAAACTGTTGCCTCAATATAATTCAATGTGTAACAGTCATCACATTTCATCGCACATTTAAGTTTATTAAATCAGTCGTTTCTATCGAGCCCATAATTACAAGGACTATGACACTCCAAAAATCACACACATAATTACATCGAAAATGGTATCAATTTTACGGTAATTTACATTTTGGCATATACTTATCCAAATTTAAATCAATAGTATGCCACCTACTAGTAAGTTTTCTATACAAAATTTGGTCTGCCTAGGGTTTTTTAAGTTATCAGATTTGAAGCGTTTCAGTAAGACGAAAACATAACCATTTTAAGTCAGGATCTCTGTCTGTCTGTTATGATGAATGGATCTTTTGATAAATGTTGAAATCTTAGAAAATTAGACAATGTCTAAGGAAATTGATTGGAAGTAGATCACTCATCGCAGAAAAAAACATGTCTGATCTTTGGACTTATTTTTGTAGTATTCATTACAAGTTGCTTGAGGATAGAATGTCATTGTGGTAATGTCCTAAAATGTAAAATCCATATGAAAAGAGTGGAATTGACAAGGAATTAAAAGTGCATAGCAATGAAGGGCAAACACTAAATTGTATAGAAATGCAAACAATTCTTATTTGAGAGTGAATAAATAATATATTTTATATTTTGAAATGGTTGTGCACCTAGTTACCTTTATTTAAAAAACTTCAGGAGAAATCTCAATTGCACTTTGTACCCAAAACTGTCACTGTGGGTTCCATCTGCTGTTGTATCTCCTCTCTGTCAGACATTTTACATCATTTCACAATGATTTTGTAGCATTTTTGTACAATTTAGAGTGATACCTTGTACATGTTTACTTTGTTCCTTACTGATTTTACTCCCTTTCCTTCTATTTTCTACTTTTAAAAACATAACTACAATGACATTTCATGGCCATTTCAAGTTCAAGGTCATTCATGTGTGAGTCTCATTCATCATAAAACTTACTCTTTACTGAAATTTAAATGCTTTGCTTTTTTAATACATGTAGTTACATTTTTTCTCAGACTCTTTCTTAGAATATATGTACATAATATCTTGTATAACTAAAAACTATGAGTTATTGACATTCCTCCAACCCCAGCTTCATCCCACTAATGAATTTTGCTTTTATATCTCTAAAAGTGTGAAATATCCAAAGAGGCAATATGTAAAATGTGTGAAATATGTAAAGAGGCAATATGGTCTAAAAGTGTGAAATATTTAAAGAGGCAATATGGTCTAAAAGTGTGAAATATTTAAAGAGGCAATATGATCAAAAAGTGAGAAATATTTAAGGAGGCAATATGCTCTAAAAATGTGAAATATTTAAAGAGGCTTTTTTACAATTTTCCCGTTAAATTTGATACATGGGGAATTGTATATTTTTAAATGCTATTGCTAATGCTAGTTAGATTAAAAATTGAACATATCATTGGCACACTTGAGCCATAATATTTTTGCAAACTGTATGCTTTTAAAAGTTACATGAAAGTACATTGTCGACATAAATATATTTTCTTAATTGTTTTCTCTTGAATCTTAACTGCCGTTGGCGTCTCGCAACCTTAAAGGTGTCAAATTGATATGTAAGCAGGATTATTTTGCTACTTCTAGACTTCCACACTCTTTTAGCTACTCTCTAACTGACTTGAGAAATGGTTTGACACACACTTGGGTTAAGTGGTAACTATTCAAAGTCTCATCTGCAACTCGCTTGCCTTAATGCGTAATAAGAAACAAATCTTGACTCTTATTATCTCAATTGCGTTTAAATGAATGGGACCAGTGTTTACATCTGACTTGGTAACTCACTTGAATATGAACACAACTAACTGGGGCAAGAGTGACCAACTCAGCAATTGGTTGGTTTACATTATAAAGTTATTTACCTCTATAGCCTGAATATGTTCAATCCCCCCATCCCACCAGTTCATCACACTCAACTTATAATGCAGGTGAGATGTGTTCCCATCAGGCATGAACAAAATATTCCAATCTTGATGAGCACATTCATTTTACCTGTTTAATTCAATGATCCAACTTAGGCAATTTCCCCAAAGGCTGCATGGAAGGACATTTCTGCGTTGCCACCAGGCCTGTAACCAGCTTTTGCCAGGGATTCACTTTCAAAAAATTGCAGGGGGGGGGGTTACAATTGACAATTTTCTGCATGGATTGGAAAGACATTTCTGTGTTTTCCACCAGGACCGTAACCAGCTTTTCCAGTGATTCACTTTTCAAAAAATTGCAGGGGGGGTTACAATTGACAATTTTCTGCATGGATTGGAAAGACATTTCTGTGTTTTCCACCAGGCCCGTAACCAGCTTTTGCCAGTGATTCACTTTTCAAAAAATTGCAGGGGGGGGGGGTTACAGTTGACAATTGTCTGCATGGATTGGAAAGACATTTCTGTGTTTGCCACTCCTGGAGTGGGGAGGAGATGGGGAGGGGAGTGACACACGTCTTAGATTTAGTCATTAACACACTTAAAGATAATTGTTCAACTTATGTTTTAAGCATTTACCTGACAGGGAAAGCCCAAACTCTTCAAGCCCTTAACTAAACTAATGATGTAGCAACTCACAAGATCTTCTTACAAGAAATCAACAGTCTGAACTGATAATAAAATATGTATTTAATGAGAAATGTTGTGTCATAATCAGAATACCCCCCCCCCCCATTAGCTGCCAGGCATGATAAGCAGTTTAAAATTTAAATCATTGGCAGAATACATCTGATTTTAAATTCAAACATGGGTATAGTATCCAACGGTATTGGTATATTAAAATTGACACGATATGAAAAATTGAGCCAGAAGTCAGAAGAAAATGCATCTTTTGATTATGTTTCTTTCTCAAAAAATAATGAAGAAAATTGCATGAATTCAATTCCTTTTGTACTTTTGTATTTTGCTATCAAGAGCATTTATAAACCCTTATATTTGTTCTGTTCTCATATTAATCTGAGCATAACTTATGATTCACTCCTCGTATTTTCCAGAACAAACCAAATGTCAATCAATTAAATGTGGGAGTGGCAAAGTATGTATGCTGAATATCCAAGGGCTTCCAGTATGCAGATGTCTTCCTGTAATATCATGCTCAAAGCGCAGAAAGGAAGTGTGTGGTCATGACGGCAAGACATATCGCACTCGCTGCCATCTTAAGATTGCCGAGTGCAACCTGAGTAAGAAGATAAAGGTAGCGTACAAGGGAGGGTGCATGGAGCCACAATCCCATGCTGCTCGACAGATGGGGGAGCACCCACCCAGTGGTAGCAGGACTACCCACACTAGGCCAATATATGCTAGGCCAGACCGATTAAAACAGAACAATAACAAGAAAAAAATGAAACTGAAACGAAAAAAAGCTAAAATTGAGTCGAGACTTGAAAAAATGCGAAATAGGAACAAAAATGGGAAAGGCATGAAAAATCGAAAGAAGAAGTACGTTACAAAAATGAATAAGTACTGAGAATCCAATTTGTTACTCGCTTCAATCCATGGATCAGCATTTTGGTTAAATCTTCTTAAAATTATGGAACTATTTATAGTTTTATACTGGGCCCCATTTCTAATAAAACATCATGCAATTTCAACTTATGAATTCAACAATATTTTTATGGAAACTGTATCAATTTTAGGTGAACCACTTAATCTTGGAGAAATCTGTATATTGTACACGTTCTCATAATATTTTCCTGAAATAATGAACTCAGAATGCTTTTTCTGTTCAGTATTCAAGCCATATCTAATGGCTGCTCTTGATTGTAGAACTTCATTGAATTCACTAAATATAATTGCATGATATGTTTGAGTAATGGACCCATGTAAAGTATAACATATGCTGAATGGATGGATTTTACAATTTTTAATATTCTCTCTCTAAGTAGAGATATATTATGCCCTTTTTAGTTGTACGTTGGTGTTCAGTTGAACTTGAAAAAGTAAAAGACATGTACCAACTTAAGCCTAATTTAAAAAAAAGTAGCCTGGGACAGTTTTCTACTCTTCTGTTCAACAAGACCTTTTAAGATATAGGCTTGTATACTGGACATTTTAACATGTAGGCATTTATACAAGCATCATATGATCCTTTTAATATGTACGCTTGTATGCTAGCGTCGTGTGGATCTTTTAACATGTAGGCTTGTATACTAGACCTTTAACATGTTGGCTTGTATACTAGACCTTTTAACATGTTGGCTTGTATACTAGAATTGCGTGGACCTTTTAACATGTAAGCTTGTAAATTGAACCTTTTAACATGTAGGTTTATACAAGCTTCGTGTTGACCTTTTCAAATGTTGGTTTATACAAGCTTCATGTGGACCTTTTAACATGTAGGCGTGTATACTAGCTTCTTGTTGATCTTCTTTTAATATGTATACTTGAATACTGGTGTCATGTTCAAATAGCTCAAAGGTGATCTATGCCCACCTTGATACTGGTCATATGTTAAGCTGTTTTGAGCACAATAGAGTTTTGTACAATTCAAATTGAGAAACTTTTTTTTAAAGAAAAATAACTACAATACATGCCTCATTGAATATAACAGCATCTATTGATTTCAGAGATTTTAGGGACTTTAGATGAAACAATATGACCAGTGCTAAAGCTACTTTTGATATTTGTATTTAAGAAAATGTTGCTTCAGTGAATTCTCCTATTTCATTATTTCGTTTGATTTATGTTCTCAGACTGATTCATAGTTTCGTTCCCTTCTTGTCCTCCTCTGTGGCTCCATTGATTTCCCCAAAGTCTCATTTATTATAGTGTATTAGAAAGCGGAGTTCCATTCTAGACTCATTTACCAATGATCTATGCCGAAGACTACTGAGTTCAATTCCATATATCACAAGCCTGGGATCACAAGGGAAAACTAAATGGGCTTGAAAATTAGAGAAATTCATAATTGCTGTATTTCATGTAGAATTTAGGATGAAACTCTCTGTGTCTTATTTGAGGCTCGTTTTAATTTGCGGATTTTTGGCATTTTCATATTGATAGAAATTGCCATTTAGTGGCATAGTATGACAAAATCACCCAATTAATTTACATTAACCACAAATGAGACGTTCATTATTTTATTTGCATCCCAACCAGCCTACATGCAACCCTTTACTTTTTGCACATGATGACTTTTGACATCTGTAATCTTTTATGATTCTGGCCAATTTTTTTTAGTTTATGTTTTCTTTATTTCTTAAATAATATCATGTTTCTCATAAAAAGTGTTATTAATTTATTTATGTTTATTGCTATTTATAGACATCATACCTAATGATAATATGTAAAATAAAGATTGGATTTGTTCAACTTGTAGCAGTATACACTAAAAGTATGATGAAATTTGCAGTAATGAAGAAGTAGAATATACAAGTTATTAACACGATAATGATTATATTGATGTGTAAAGGTATTATATAGCATGAGACCATCGCAAAACGGGTCTGTAGTCAGAATTGTGAGGTAAGTTGCTGAATTGTGAAATACTGGATAAAGAATTCAAGTTTTATTCAATTTGACAATACTTCATGGTGATAGCCATGCCCCTTTGTATTATCTTTCGCAAATGACAGATAAGAAGTCTGGTAAACCAGAATGACGATACTTCAGCAAAAATCAATTGGTAAAAACAATGATAATTTTGAACATTTGAGTTCAATTTTCACAATATCAGGGCCAGCCTCCTCTGACTATAGTCCTGTACATTAAGATGGAATCATAAGTAAATATGAATGTTTCATCGAAACTTTAGTTTCAGCTTAAACATACATATTTTTCATAGCTAGAATCAGCCTAGATGTTATCATAAAAAATGCAGTCATTTATATATCATCAGAAACTGAAGAAAATGTTGTACTTCAATGTATTTTACATGTTCACTTATTTTGCAGTAAGTCAATGGATCTCCCTCTAACTTACCCAACGTACTTGTGAAGGTGATGTTTGTTAGTAAGGGGGGGGGGGGTAAACGAGGAGTTATGTAAGATTTGTGAACATGTACATGTGTTTGTGTATGTAACTTTATATATATAGCCTATTATCACTTATTTTATTATTTTCCACTTATTTAACAGGCGATTCATATGGAATGGAATAATAGTAAACATCCCTTAGTGGGGTACCCTTGGGAAAAAATGACAAGAACAAATTCCCCATTGGGAGCCTCAAATGTGGAACTAGATGAGAGAATTAAACCAATAACTTAGAGATATGAGAGAAACTGTGTCCAATCAACGTGGAAGATATTAAGGAAAAGTAAAGGTGTTTCGTTACAAAACATTTTACCATCTTATAGAATTGAAGAGTAATACAATATCTGACATATTATTAAACTTTTCTAGATTACTCCATGGTGAAGATGATTGATTGAATTAAATTGAAGTTAAAGATTCCAGATGTTTAAGTTGTTGAAGGAGATTATCCAATAAAACTTGCCAAACTCAAACATCTGTAGAACGAAATACATTTCAGTATTTAATCAATGCATTAGATGTTATTAGCCTATAGCTAGTCTGATGTTTAATTGCAATGCCAAAATATTCCAAATGTATTGTACTCATACATTGTAATGTTATATTAATATGTTCAAAATGTACCATACACATCCATTGTAATGTTTTATGCTCAGAATGTATCATATATAGTTGTTATGTTAATATATTCAGAATGTATCTTACAATGTAATGTTGATATGTTCAGAATGTAATGTTAATATGTTTAGAAAGTATCATAAATTGTAATGTAAATATGTTCAATATGTATCATTTATTGTAATTTTAACATGTTCAGAATGTATCATTCATACATTAACATGTTCAGAATGTATCATACATTGTAGTTCAAAATGTATCATACGTTCTAATGTTACAATGTTCAGAATGTATCAAGCATTGTAATGTTAACATGTTTTGTTGCATTCTGTATTTTGCTTGTTTTAAAAAAGTAAGCAATGTTACTTGATATAATCATTTCATAGCTATATGTGCTATATGTGCTATATGTGGTCGAAATGTATTCATAAATAAATAAATAAATAAAGATAGATTTAAAATCTACAAGATGTAAATAATGATTTTTGTTATAATTATTGAGAATATATTCACTCAAGGGTTCACATCATTGAGGTCAAGTTTTTGAGGTCACACACAAAGTCACATTGTCAAAAGGTCAATACTCTGATAAAACAGTGTATGTCAAGGTCATTAGAAAGATTAAATATGAATGTTCTGTGAGTTAAGAGCCAAAATTCAATTTGATTTCTTCCTGGATTAAGTCTGGTTACTTAATTCTTTAACAATACCAGCTCATTTAACATTTCATGTATGACCTCAATCCAATGACCTCAACGATCACATTGACATTGAAGACAGACGTCTATATTTAATAATTGAATTTCTCATAGATTACAAACCAAATCATATCGTACCTTTTAAATCTAAGTCGTAACATTAACCAGGCTTGATATTCAGTTGAACTAAATTTGAAGCTATGTGGCCCTAACACAATTTAAAATTAGTATAATTTACCCAGCAGGACACAAACCTTCGTTTACAGATATCACTGTTTAAAAAGTAAATATCCATTACCGAAAATCGCTCTTGTCATTATACCATTTGATTTCGTAAAGTTTGAGAGTAAAACAACTGATTTCCTGATGTTTCCATACAATTTAGAGTTTGCATTTCACGCCTGTTTTCTTATCTTAATTTCTTGATCATTTTTTTTATTTTCCATTTCAAAATAAGACACTATGACATTGACTTGTGGGATGTGTGGTTTGACGCAGTCTAAATAAATGTCAATCAGGCCAATAACAGGGGATGAGGTCATAGTCCGTGAGAAAAAAGTCACACTGGTCTTATCTTAAATATTCCAAACATAGTGGAAAATGAAGGAATGAGCAAGAACTGCAGAAACCAGTGCAAGGTTGATTTCTAAATTGTATGGATATTCCAGCGATTAAGTTTACGAATAGAAAGTTTTTTGCAAAATTGAGTGAAATAAACATGACAAGAGATGTTTCCCTTCTGGAGGCACCCCCAGGATGCCAGGATTCCACATTTATACCATCTCACACTTTTTGTTTCTCTTACAAATAAAGAAATTTGTGCATCAATAAATTCAATTTCCAGGGTAGACGTCTTCTCAGTCATATCAGTAGCTGAAACAATTTATTCCCTCTTCTTTGTGGTCTGAAGATAAGAAAGTATTCTAATTGACTGATTATCTTCGAAGATTTTTTCAAAATAACAACTCTTAAATTTGTAAGACATCACACAAATTTTGATGAAAACATTGATTACCATGGATAAAAATACCAGGGTATTTGGCAAACATTGCAGTCGAATAAATTATTAAATTATGGGTTGCTCAATCTCATGGTATTGGAAAATTGAAGATGAAAACATCAATGCAGCCCTTGTAGATAATTATGTGACATATCAGTCCAGTTCCAAGTGAAAGCAAGAGAAAAATGCCGTTATTAAAAAAGGTGAATGTTTATCTATTTTTCCCCACTTTCTATCCTATATTATTTCGTCATTAATGTGCATAGGCTCTAAAATTAGACACTTACCACATGAAGGGGGCGAAAAATTTGAGGAATTTGCTAAATCAAAATGGTTTGTCAATAATTTCACAGCAACATTTTTGGATAATGATATACAATTAAATTTACTGAACATTCAATTCGTCAAATTGCACAAGATATGGTCAACACAACCCGAGCATATAATCAAATGTATAACTAATGCATCATATATGTATTATACAATTATATTTTATTAATGCGTAGAATTATTAATAAATAACTACACTGGAAAATGAAACAAATGCCAAAATACACAGACATACCGGAAAATATTTCTTTATGTGGGTGTGAAATTATAGAAATAGCTACAAAGTAGGCAAGATAAATACTGCTACTCTACAGAAAAATGTTTCATTGTTTATTTAAGGAATAAATAATGATAGGCCATTCAATATGGTGAAATTCAGCACGAGTTGGACAGAATGTTGTACAAAGCACGAACCGAAGGTGAGTGCATTTGTACTAACATTCTGTCCAACGAGTGCTGAATTTCACCATATTGAATGGCCTATCATTATTTATTCCGATTCAAACATAAAAATTAGTACAAGGCATTAACATGACAAAATGTCACCACCTAGTTGCTCACAATATTATGAGTTCAAACTTAAGTCAGATTTGAATTTCTGAGAACTTGTAAAGTCAAATTTGAGCTTCTGAAAAGATGTAGATGATTTTGACCTTTTTTGACCTTGAGAAGGTCATTGAAGGTCAAATGTCAAATCTTAATCTGTTTTGAAGTCAGATTTGAATTTCTGAGAACATGTAGATGATTTTGAAAAAAAAAATTAGTCAATTTGAAGCAAGTTGAAAAAAGACCTGTTTGACCTTTTTTGACATTGAGAAGGTCATTGAAGGTCAAATGTCAAATCTAAAGTCAGATTTGAATTTCTGAGAACATGTAGATGATTTTGAAAAAAAATTTAATCAATTTGAAGCAAGTTGAAAAAAGACCTTTTTGACCTTTTTTGACTTTGAGAAGGTCATTGAAGGTCAAATGTCAAATCTTAAGTCAAATCTAAAGTCAGATTTGAATTTCTGAGAACACGTAGATGATTTTGAAAAAATTTTTTAGTCAATTTGAAGCAAGTTGAAAACAGACCTTTTTGACCTTTTTTGACCTTGAGAAGGTCATTGAAGGTCAAATGTCAAATCTTAAGTCAGATTTGAATTTCTGAGAACACGTAGATGATTTTGAAAAAAAAATTTAGTCAATTTGAAGCAAGTTGAAAACAGACCTTTTTGACCTTTTTTGACCTTGAGAAGGTCATTGAAGGTCAAATGTCAAATCTTAGTCAGATTTGAATTTCTGAGAACATGTAGATGATTTTGAAAAAAAATTTTAGTCAATTTGAAGCAAGTTGAAAAAAGACCTTTTTGACCTTTTTTGACTTTGAGAAGGTCAAATGTCAAATCTGAAGTCAAATCTAAAGTCAGATTTGAATTTCTGAGAACACGTAGATGATTTTGAAAATTTTTTTTAGTCAATTTGAAGCAAGTTGAAAACAGACCTTTTTGACCTTTTTTGACCTTGAGAAGGTCATTGAAGGTCAAATGTCAAATCTTAAGTCAGATTTGAATTTCTGAGAACACGTAGATGATTTTGAAAAAAAAATTTAGTCAATTTGAAGCAAGTTGAAAACAGACCTTTTTGACCTTTTTTGACCTTGAGAAGGTCATTGAAGGTCAAATGTCAAATCTAAAGTCAGATTTGAAGGTCAAATGTCAAATCTAAAGTCAGATTTGAATTTCTGAGAACATGTAGATGATTTTGAAAAAAAATTTAGTCAATGTGAAGCAAGTTGAAAAAAGACCTTTTTGACCTTGAGAAGGTCATTGAAGGTCAAATGTCAAATCTGAAGTCAGATTTGAACTTCTGAGAACATGTAGATGATTTAGAAAAAAATTGAAGTCAGTCTAAACAGTATTTGTTAAGTTATAGGAAGTTGTAAGAAATTGTTACAGACGCCGGACGCCAACCGCCGGACGCCGGACGCCAACCACCAACCGCCAACCACCAACCGCCGTCGCAAAAAAACGGAGACCATAACAATATGTCACCACTTTTGGTGGTGACATAAAAAGCCGTGTCTGTGGAACGGGCATGAAGGAAGAATACGCATGCTGCTATCCCCGGACAGAGCCCCAGATGTGCAGCTGAGATGTGACGTCACTCAAAACAATGCAAATTGCAGATTGAATAGAGCATGGTCGTGCATCTATGGAGAATTAGAGAACGTTCTATATTGGCTATGCTGCATTCTGATTGGTTGAGAAATTCGAATAGAGCACGGTCATGTTTGAATAAGTGTTAAATTTTTATTCACTGTTGACATTCAAAGTAATACAACTAGCTACCCTTGAACTGCAACCCTAGATTGGTACATCTAACATATCATGTTCAATTGATACAGCTTTATATGAGAAAAGGCTTCTCAAATTGAGACATTCATGCATTCATTTCATGGTTTTTAAGCAAAACTTTTTGGGCTGTAAAAACGTTTTGCAAATCAACTTAAAGCACAAAGAAATAGTGCCATGTCGATGAAATGTTACTCAAAAACTCAAAAAATGCAATTTATCCAGAATTCAGAGTCGATAATTCGGGGCTTGATTTATGCCTTAAACATCTGAAATGACTACTTCCTATTAAATATATTTTGAGTCACTATAAATACTGACATGGAATTCTTTGAAGAATGGCTTTCCTCAGATTCACTGTGTTCTATTATAGAATCCAGGCCCATAACCTGCTTTTGCAAAGGGGGATTTAGGGGGGGGGGTTCACTTTTCGAAAAAATTACATTTGACAACTTTGGTCCAAAACAACTTAAAAGTCCTCAGAATGGTGATAAACTGGATGATTTTGCATGATCTTTTGGCTATGAGCCTGGAATCTTACAAATGAGGTCCAATCCGGCATTCTCCCTCACAAAGCTCAAGTTGGACTATATTGTTTGCAATGGAGAATTCCATTAATATTCAATTAACCACTACTCCATTATTCAATATCAAATTCAACAGCAAATATTCTGAAAATGTTCACTAAGGGATCAATGCTACTGAACTGACTTTGAAATGAGCCAGTATTAATAAGAGATGAGCTGAAAGCTGGAAGAATGAATCTTTCTAGAGAAGTCCACCAAGCATTCTTCTGTTGAACATTTCCATATATCAGGCCACTGTGTCCTTTTATGGAATTTATTGTGGAATTTATGGAGTCCAATATAATCCCAGATGACAGCTAGCTATGTCCAATGATCTCAGAAAGGTTGTCTGGTCGCTACTTTGAAAATCAACAGTGATTAGGGTTATTCCAAGTCATCTGGCCTTACAGGGTGTTTTAACGGTATAACAGATTTCTTTTCTTTATCTTGACTCAGTGCTTTCCTCATATCTGGAAAACAAGGGAAATATCATCTTAAATGATACAAAAAGAGAAATGAATTTTTACAACAGAAGCTCTAGTCAACTGAAGAAGTCACCAGATGGTGGCAAAACAGAACAACAGAAAAACAGAAAATTAATACAAGTATACATTTTTTGTTCAGATTTCAATCCAAATCCATAAGGTGTCTCATTTATTTTAACTTACATTGATTGTAAGGAAACAAATTGTTTTCACTCTGACTGAAATATTTCTATGCCACCTTTTCCACAAGTTTCAAACAAAACTTTGAAGGAAAAAACTAGGAACTTCCTCTATGGCATGCCTAAGAGACATCTATTAGTAATCTAAAGCAAGAAAACCATATGGCTTACATGAGTTAGAGTTAGGACTCATTACGATGTTAATATGTTTTTGTATATGTAGACTAAGGTGGAACTGGGTAAATTCTATATATTCTCTGATATCTCAGAAATGTGTCCACATTGGGGAGATGTTCAAAATAACTGGGTGTTCACTTATTGTCCTCCCTTGGAACTCACCAAAGGCATCTTCATTTTTTGACAGACGTTGAAATATTGACCCAGCCCCTAATATTGTGCTCCATATGAACTTACCAAATGCATCTTCGTCCACTTCCCCAGAATAATACTCTATCACTCTTCTATAAACTGTGTATCCAAGGCGCTCATACATCGCTATGGCAACTGTGTTAGAAACTCGTACAAAGAGATCCACAAAATAGCATTTTTTCCTACAAGTAAAGGAAATGAACAATTTGAAGACACTCATCCAAATATCTTGAAAGCCCATGGTATTATTGTTGATCAATAAAAATAGGTAAATGATATGATACCATTGTACCCAAGTCCCATTTTATAAGATCAGTAAAATTTCCCATACTTTCCAACAAAAATAGAATTTGTGATATTGCATTATTTAATTCGGAAATTTTTCAAAACCCATATATGTGGTTAGAAAAAATGGCAATTCTCATCAACCAGAACTTTATCTCAGTGCTGGCAGTGTCTCCCAGTCCAGTTGTCATCGCCACCCCATCACCACTATAGGTAGGGGCAAAACAGAAACCTGCTGAAAGGCTGGGAACTTACTTATCAGATGTTTCTTCCAGATTCTTCATTAGACGAGCAGCGAGTCCTAAACGTCTGTACTCGGGAGCAACTGTGAGGGCAGTCACATGACCATGCCAGTTTTCCTTTGTACCCTCTGCCTTTCCCATGACTAAAACAATTAAGAGTGATACGGTCTTGACTCTGTTTTTGAACAATGGGTTTCCCATAATCTGCATTATCATTTGAGACTTAAATCTTTTCATTGGATTTATAGTTTCAACAAGGTATAGAACATGTAGAATACTGCTGAATGTATAATAATGATGTATCCTTTTAAAAGTGTTGTACATTTAAATGTCAGGAAAAACCATGCACAGTACACTATATTTGTGTTCTGTTGTATAAAAAGTGATTCCAATTAATAAATAAATAGATAAAAAAATGTGTAGCCATAATTGTGGTTCACTCTGTACTTACTGTATCCCATGATCTGGCCTGTAGGTGACTCAGCAACTTGGAAGAACTCGGGCCATCTAGCCAGATACTGCATGTAAAATGGAAGGCCATACTAGTTGTGTTAAGGATTGGTATATGACAGTTCCTGTATCATCAGTAATATTTTCCCTGTTTTTCCCCTCTTGAATGTAGAAAAATATATTACTACTGCATAATTAAGATATTAGGAGAAGATAATGTTTTCATGATTTAAAGAATCTATTTTTGTGAAAGGATACTGTCTCTGTCAATCGATCCAAGTTGCTGAAATGTAAATATAAACACATGTGGATTACTGTGTAAATATACTTTCTTTTAATGTCCAGCCAAGTTCACTCAGAGGCAGGATGTCTTCCTCTTGTGTACATATGATAACAGATCCCAGATAACTGTTTGCAATACATTTATCAAGGCCAGGGGTATGGTGGCTGAGTGATTCACATAAAAGGGTGCTGTGTGTCAACAGGCCCGTAGCCAAGGGGGGTTCGCAGGGTTCGGGCGAACTCCCCCCTGGCCAAAAATTCTTTCAAAATCATGCAGTTTTTCACCATTTTAGCCATATTTGGACCAAAATTGTCAAATGTAAACCCCCCCTTGGCAAATCCTGGCTACGGGCCTGGTCAATGTACTTGTTTGTTTATGTAAGATGATATGCATATAAAAGAACATAAGGATGAACATATAAAAGGACATAAGGCCAGATCAATACCTATGTTTAATTAAAAAAGTTACTCACACACTGTTAAACTTGAACATGTCATCACAGGTGAATGGCCTTATGGTTGTCATGGTGACAGTTGTATAATCACTCCTTTCTTTCTATAGAGCTGTGACTTAGTTCATTATCTAAACCGGCTATTTCTAAAATTAAACGACAATAATTGTTATAGTTACAGTAAATACCTATACAGGGTTGTTAAACCGAATGGATTCAAATACACGGCACTAAAAAGGTATGAATCCAATGTGATAAGCACACCTTTTTTTATTTATATCAGTAGCAATAGGAAATAGATGGTTCAAGATGATAAAAAACATGAAGACTAGACAATAACAATCCAAAAATATAGTTAGTCTGACTGAATCTTTTGTCAAGTGAGAAATAGAGGTTCTTGTATGAGTACCTGTGCAAGATCGTCCATTCTTGATGAGCTTTGATAATTCTTCTTTTATCGAGTCGAAGACGAGATAAAGAAACATTATCAAAGCGAGTCAAGAATGGATGATATTGCACAGGTACAAGTACAAGAAAAGTTTTCTCAAGATAGTCTATGATATGTACTCTTCAATGATGTTGAAGTTAGAAATATCAGACAGGGCTGCAAACTAAAATTTCTTTCTATTCTCAATATGTTTTAGTAAGGTCAAGTTCATTAGCTTTGTTCATCAGCTTGAGTGCAGTCTGATTTTATGTCTGACAGTGGAGTGGTGGACCATCATATGGTTTTGTACATGTCATGTAATAATTACACATGTCAGTACATGGAATAGTCTGTACAGTGGGAGACATTAATGAACCTCAACCATCAAAAGTTGTCACAATAAGCTAAATTCTAAGTTTCATGTCTCAAACTCTCCCAAGCGGTAGACAAATAATTCCCGCTCACTTTAGTAGCACAATAAATGAATCCAAAGCTTACCTGCAAATGATGGATAAATTCCTACCTAATCGAACGAATGTTTTCATGGATCACCATGTGATCCAAGGTGGATTGACTCCCAGAATGCAACATCAGTTAACCTTATTTACTCGTGACAAGTTTCAAAATGGCGGAACGGCATTTTGAAAGCTGGCACATGTCATGTTCAACATTTGAAGAGTCAGCATTTACATGTGAATATCGCTTCAAATGTTTAAATTCCTATTTGTCATTGGTTAAGGTAATATGGAAGTTAACAGGAAATGACAAAACAGGAAGTGACAAATTTTTTTGCATTTTTAGACATTTTTTAACAAAGATAACAGAGTTGTGTGTTGACCTCCAGTCGATTCAACTAGTTCCAAATACCATTTACAGGTCCAGGATCACAATGTGCAGGGTCAGAATGACCCTAAACATGATGAAATAACCTTTTTAGCCCTTTGAAAGTGTGACTGAAAAAAAGCTAAAAGTAGGAGCTAGGGAAGGTCACTGAACAGAATCTTTTGAATTTTTCAGAAAATGTGCCTAATATAACGCTCTAACTGATACAATCTTTGAAATTTTAGAAAATTGTCTTAAACAAAAATGGCAGTCATAAAAAGGAAAATAAATCGCTTTTAAAATTAGTTTTTTCATTTTTTTTTCTTTTTCCATGAATGATATCAAATTTTCAAAGATTGTATCATTTAGAGCAGTATATTGGGCACATTTTCTGAAAAATTCAAAAGATTCTGTTCAGTGACCTTTCCTACTCTCCTACTTTTAGCTTTTTTTCAGTCACATTTTCATAGGCACGCCCGGTGATCGTAGAATTGGGACGGAGGGGGAGCAGGCAATTTCTGCTAGAAATTTCAACAAATCTGGAAGATTTATTTTTTAAAGAAGAAGTTTACTATTGAATTGCTAAATAAATAGGCTCACGGTATTGTAAAATATGTTAGGTATTCTAGGATTTTTTTTCAACCGATACTCTTTTAGGGTATAAGATCTATTAAAAAGGCGCAACGCACCAACGTGCAAAAGTCAATGTTGTTGCTATAAATGAAGCAACAATGGTGTACATGACCTGTAATAAATACTTGTAAGTGACATTATCGTCACAAAATTAATGTTATTGCTGACTTTGTAAAATAAGTTTCCATAGGTGAAATAAAAAATAATCTAAAATAATTTTGGGACGGAGGGGGGGGAGCAATATGTATTAAGACATGATACATATTGCTCCCCCCTCCGTCCCATAATTATTTTCGATTATTTTTTATTTTACGTATTGAAACTTATTTTATAAATTCAGCAATGGCATTAATTTAGTTATGATATCGTCACTTACAAGTATTTAATACAGGTCGTGTAGACCATTGTTGCTTGATTTATAGCTAAAACGTTGATTTGTGTCTGTTGGTTGCCTCGCGCCTTTTTTAATAGATCTCATATCTTAGATGCCTATCGTTTCAGAAAAAATCCCAGAAGACCTAACATATTTTACCATACCATGCGTCTATCAATTCAGCAATTCAATAGTAAACTTTTTCTTGAAAAAACAAATCTCTCAGATTTGTTGAATTTTCTTGCAGAAATTGCCACGATCACCGGGCGTGATAGGGCAGAAAACGTTATTTCATCATGTTTAGGGTCATTCTGACCATAAACATTGTGATCCTGGACCTGTAAATGGTATTTGGAACTAGTTGAATTGACTGGAGGTCAAAACAGAACTCAGTTATCTTTGTTCAAAAAATGTCTAAAAATGCCCAAAAAATTGTCACTTCCTGTTTTGTCATTTCCTGTTAAGTTCCATAGCACCTTAATGGTAAATTCTATACGGCATATGGTAAACGGCGAACAGACATAGGCCTACGTATGGACAGAAACAGGAATATTGTTTTCCTGTAAAATTGGTCAGTGTCAAATCAGGCTTTTTTTATTTTGGTCGGTCTTTTACATAGTGGTCGGTCTTTTACATATTTTTTTCAAACCCTGTTTTGAGGCTACCTATGGAAAACACCGAACGGTCGGTGGTCGGTGGGGTCGGTCTTTTCCGTAAACCCCTAAATTCACTGAGGTAAGAATTTATGAAATATGTGGCAGAATGTCTTTTTCATAGTGTTAGTAATTATTTATGTTCACCACTGTCTGTAGCCTAGGCCTAGTGACTATTTAAAGAACATTAAATTAAAAATCATATAAATGCCCTTAGGCTAGTCATAAAAAATTATGAACAGCAAAAAATGTAATTGTTAAAAACTGCACTTAAGGTACAGCTGGAAAGTAACATTTTGGTAAAAAATTGCTATACCTGCACATGTTATTTTCTGGTACTAAATAAAGTATGAAGGCATGTGTCAATTTCCTTGCTTTTTTCAGGAAAGTATCATTACATTGTCTTCTTTTAGAATATCTGGTAGGGGTTCAATGGGAACTCCAGGAAATTCTGATATTCCAGTCAACACAGAAGCTTCCATTGACCTGTTTCCAGATATTCTAAAAGTAAACAGTGTAATGATACTTTCCTGAAAAAAGCAAGGAAATACACACATGACTTCATAGTCTACTTAATTTTGTACCAGAAAATAACATGTATAGCAATTTTTTACCAAAATGTTACTTTCCAGCTGAACCAGTTTTACACGAGATTTGATCGTGACGTGAAAGTATTCAATTTCATCATGAAGAGTTCTATAAGACAAATGACTTTGTTACCTTAAAATATGACTAAACTGCTAAACTGTATCCGAAACGTGAAATTTTTGATTGTTTTCCAAATCAGAACAGCTTGATAAAGCTAAAACCGCTACAGCGAAATTTAACTTTTGACAGGAACATACATTATTGCTCAACAAATAATCGATGTAGCGAAATGATGGTGCCCAATTGATTTTGATAATGATAATTCACAGTATGTTGATGTAACATTACTTATATCATACCTGTATACCAATTATGAAGAACGAAGGTTCCTTTATTATCCAGATCATTGTTTTCCCTGAGTTTTCATAAGTAGGAGAAGTGCTAGATTATCCTTCATGTTTCAGTGTCAAAATAAGGGACTTTGTTCTAGTGCAAAACTTGATGCTACACGTACGATATGATGTAAAGGGCCAATGGATAAAATTTTCATCCTAAATAATATTTTTAATTCATGTGACGCTTAACTGACACAATCAAGAAACTTGGACACAAACCTTTTCTGAGGACAAAAAAGCTTGAAAATATTCCTTGCCTAGGAACACGGTGTAGGAAGCAGTATAAGTTCCAACTTGAAAAAATGAATTAAAAAGGCAACATATTCATTAATTTTTAATGCTCTAATAACAAAAAAGGTTTATATCCAAATCATTCATTGTGTCAGTCATATATCATATGAATCAAAAATGGTTTAGGTTTATTTTGAATAACAATTTTTAGCCATTGAAGCTTTATCTTATGATCAGCCAGTTGGATGGATTTTGGCTCTTAATCTGTTAATGGGCTACTGCTGATCATCTATGTGTATTACACAAACAGGTACCTACTTCATGTACAGATCACTGCTGATATAGCACATATACTTAATCAAATTAGATTTTTGAAAAAAACATTGCAGAAATCTCCAAATGAAATGGGTCACTGCATGTGTGCAAAAATATGCAGGTCACTGCTGATGAACTTCATGTACAAATCAAAGAAAATTGTTGAAACAGGAATTTACCATTGAAAAACAAAGATAAGTTGTGTGTTTTATGTTTTTTATATATTTTATTTTATTGCAGCCTCAGTTCACTACACAATTGTAGCTAGTACAATAAACATTGTATCTTGTACAATGGACATTGTATATTGTACAGTAAACATTATATCTCTTACATAAAATAATTCATGCACATTTATCAATATGCAGCTTACATTAAAAATGCTCATAATTATAACAGCATTTTTAAGTCAGTCTTCTGTACATCCTGAAGGAACATGGCTGAGGAACATTACTGTACAAAAGACTGTCTGACAATACTTTCAAAAAGGAAGAATGAAAGAATGTTAATTTTTAATTTTAACATCCTGTCGTACAAGTAAACGGTAAGTACAAACAAAAGTAAGGAATTCAGAGGTCTTATATAAAATGAGATTTTGAATTTACTCTGTTTATTGTGTTTCACGAAATCATTTAGATTCATTGTAAGAAATGATGAACATAAATCATCCACTTCATATAGTCTATTTAGGCATCTGTGGGTTCCCAGCGCCTTGTTGCATTTTCTGCATCATACTATTTAGCCCAGCAAATCCTCCTAAACACAATACAGTACATATTATGGAACAAATGAATTTGGAAGTTCAATTTGAAATATTTGTGAGAAACAACCTCCAACTGATTCAATATTGCAGACGTACCGTTCTTATAAGCCCCCTTACCCGCCACACATTTTTCAAAGGGAACTTTTGATATATTTTAAGAAATGATATTGCGATAGAGAGAAGAGGGCATATAAGGTACAAGTACACATTGGTCTTCATGATTCTCACATATCTGTTCATAATGTAGCTTACTTGATATTTCTTAATTCGGACAATCTATGCTTGCACAATCCTTTTACCCTCTCTTCCTAAAAGAGTGCGGTTGGGAAACCATAAACTTGATGACAGATTTTTTAATGAAAATACATACTAATTAAATATGTACTTTTACTGTAGTTTTACATCCTTAGAACACAGGCCTTGACAACGAAGAAGGAAGATAGTGGATGATGTCTGGAGCCCTGTGTTTGGAGGATGTAACTTTAAGGCAATTTCCTCCTTTCTTCTTTGCATTCATGAACATGAGAAAGTGGTTGCCCTACACTTTTAACATGTCAATGAGCACAATATTACAGTATATGTATAGATCAACAGAAGTCAGACAATGAAGAACTTTACGATTAAATTAGGAAAATAATATACTGAACTGTGCAGTATAGTAAAATAGCACACTTCACTTTATGATGATGAAAATCACGATGATAGATGAGTCTCAATTTTTTGATTCATGGAATAGGTAGGTAAAGTAATCCTGTTTAAATTGACACACATTTGGATGTCTGTCTAGGTGTAGTTGTGAATGATCTTCTATTGCCAGGTCACAATATTTAGTCCTTACTCAAAGTCGTAACAATGTTGTCTGATACACCAATAATGTAAATGACACCATGGACATTGTCTGATACACCAATATGACAAATGACATCATATACATTGTCTGATACACAAATAAGGTAAAGGACGCCATGTTATGTCCAAAGAATAGAAGACATCCTATTGTATAAAGCTATAAGGAAAGGGTTCATCATTCTCCCATTCCACCGAACATATTTGCCATCTTGCCCCCCGCTCCAGCCTGGAACTGTTTCATCATATTTTGCAAGCCCGACATACCACCTGAAATATCACCAGAGGGCACCACTTACACCAAGCACCATATATGGCAGACATGTAATAAGTTTTATACTATATATAAGAAATATTGAATATACTTATGCAATAAGTATGTAAGCAAATGGCAGGAAATTATACGTCTACCCAAATAATGAAAATTGCAAAAAGCAGATAAAAATAATGAAACAAGGCATTAACATGACAAAATGTCACCACCTAAAACAATTTGGTCAATTTAAAGCAAGTTGGAAAATACCTTTTGACCTTGAGAAGGTCATTGAAGGTCAAAGGTCAAATCTAAAGTCAGATTTGAACTTCTGAGAACTTGTAAAGTCAAATTTGAACTTTTGAAAAGATGTAGATGATTTTGAAAAAAAAATTTGGTCAATTTTAAGCAAGTTGAAAACAGACCTTTTTGACCTTTTTTGACCTTGAGAAGGTCATTAAAGGTCAAATGTCAAATCTAAAGTCAGATTTGAATTTCTGAGAACATGTAGATGATTTTGAAAAAAAAATTAGTCAATTTGAAGCAAGTTGAAAAAGACCTTTTTGACCTTTTTTGACCTTGAGAAGGTCATTGAAGGTCAAATGTCGAATCTAAAGTCATATTTGAATTTCTGAGAACATGTAGATGATTCTGAAAAAGAATTTAGACAATTTGAAGCAAGTTGAAAAAAAGACCTTTTTGACCTTTTTTGACTTTGAGAAGGTCATTGAAGGTCAAATGTCAAATCTAAAGTCAGATTTGAATTTCTGAGAACATGTTGATGATTTTGAAAAAAAAATTTAGTCAATTTGAAGCAAGTTGAAAAAAGACCTTTTTGACCTTTTTTGACTTTGAGAAGGTCAAATGTCGAATCTAAAGTCAGATTTGAATTTCTGAGAACACGTAGATGATTTTGAAAAATTTTTTTAGTCAATTTGAAGCAAGTTGAAAACAGACCTTTTTGACCTTTTTTGACCTTGAGAAGGTCAAATGTCAAATCTTAAATCAGATTTGAATTTCTGAGAACACGTAGATGATTTTGAAAAAAAAATTTAGTCAATTTGAAGCAAGTTGAAAACAGACCTTTTTGACCTTTTTTTTAAGGTCAAATGTCAAATCTAAAGTCAGATTTGAAGGTCAAATGTCAAATCTAAAGTCAAATCTAAAGTCAGATTTGAATTTCTGAGAACATGTAGATGATTTTGAAAAAAAATTTAGTCAATGTGAAGCAAGTTGAAAAAAGACCTTTTTGACCTTGAGAAGGTCATTGAAGGTCAAATGTCAAATCTAAAGTCAGATTTGAACTTCTGAGAACATGTAGATGATTTAGAAAAAAATTGAAGTCAGTCTAAACAGTATTTGTTAAGTTATAGGAAGTTGTAAGAAATTGTTACAGACGCCGGACGCCGGACGCCAACCTCCAACCACCAACCGCCAACCACCAACCGCCGTCGCAAAAAAACGGAGACCATAACAATATGTCACCACTTTTGGTGGTGACATAATAAATTGTAAACTGGATTAGGAAATTCCAAATTCCTTCTCTTTGGTTCGAAAACTAGAAGTGAAAGAAGGAAGTGTTAAAGTTATCTTGTGTATTTACTCAAGATCTGCATGTTTTATTCCTTGTCAATACCACCCTTATCCTATTTTATATTATAAAACACATCCATAGTTTACCCACCCATTTGTTGTAGCACTCTTGGGTCCATCATGCGGGCCATCTGGGTGTTCAACTTAGCCATCTGGGCTGGATTTACATTCTTGGCCATATCTCCACCTAGAACATAATCATAACATTTGATTTAAAATAGCTTTGAATTGTACAGGGCTGTGGTAGAATATTTCATAACACGAAGATATTCTGGAAAATAGGCTATACAAAACTCAATTGAAAAAACTGCATAGAAGCTAGCCTATTATACTAAGATGGAAAAGTAAAGGGGCTAAGGTATTGCAAACACAAGTATTGTATTTGGTTAATTCAGATTGGATATAATAACTCTTTATAGGTTTGTGTGAGACCCATCCACACGGAGAGGTTTGGGAATTTGACACATGGTAATGTCCCAGGGGGTGTACTTCTCCTTGATGTAGGAACTTTTGAAATACATTTTCCCAGTAATTTTTACTTTATTTAACACGCCATCATGCTCCAAGGATAGGGAATTTGACAACTCAATTTTTATTTTGTCAAAATCACCACCACTTCACATGTGGGGGACTCTTACACAAACCTCCGAATGGTACATAATTGCTATGTGTTGCTTCCTTAACATATATGTAAGAGTTTTGTGTATCAACTATTTCTCTAGCAATTGCGATATCAGCTGTAGATAACCCTACACCAGAGAAAGAGGAAATATTGGGAAGCTAATAGCATAAGGCTGATAATTGACAAACATGGCATATCATATTTATACTTCACATGATGCATACACCCAGAAAACATGCAAGCAGCTACCGAACAATGTTTATGTTACATGCGTTTGGCTTCATCAACATACTTGAGTTATGTAATTTTAAAATTCCTTATATTAAACATGCATAGAAAATCTCCAATCACCAAGAGCCATACAGTGAAATATGAGAACTAAACAGAATCAATGTTAGAATTACACAATAATACTTAAACTACGAGACAAGATAAAAATGAACTTGATGATTCTACAATTTGACCTTGCATCCTTAGTTTGATTGCCATGCCGTGCTCTATTCCAGAATGCTGCAATAAGCTGTTTGCTTGATTTATAGAATTTAATGAATAAAAGAAGATGCAAAACCATCAAGTATTTTATAGAAAATAAAATAAAAAGATAGCTAAACAAAGACCTCTAGCAAGCTACCTGCATACAGTACCTTTATTACCTTTAAAAAGGCCTTTGATTCCTCCCATCTTTTTCACCATCTGAGCAAACTTTGAGTATTGGGCCAAGAGCTCCTGAACCTCACGCTGGGACACTCCTGCCCCCCTAGCCACCCTGGCAATCCTCCCTGTCTGTCTAGAGAATAGTTTGGCACCCTCTGAGCTGTCCAACTCTGCAATAACATGTTGAAAACGAGGCATTAACATGCAAAATGTCAACACCTACCATTTGTTACAGATGCTAAATGAAGAACACCAACCACCGAATGCCATCAACACAAAAAGTTGGGAGACTATAACAATATGAATGTCAGAGAGATCTAAAATGGAAAAAGCAAACAACTTGTAAATAACTCTCTTCAATGTTGAGGAATGCCTCAAAATCATCGTTGACAAATATTCACAGATTTGTACTAAATGTTTTAGCATGGTAAAAATTGAGAAATTTCATGACAATATTAATTCTGGGAGAAATATGTTTTAATGTGCTTAAGAGGGAAAAACAAATATCTGCAAATATACACAAAGCAACTAACCTTGGTCATTCATACTGTCCATTATTGTCATTAGTTTTTTTAGTCGTGACATGGACTCCTGTTCATTACCCTTTGTCATAAAGTCACTGCTGAACCCTGGGATCATGCCCTATAATACAGAAATAACAAAAATTATTCTTAAGTAATTTTACTATTGAAATCCCAGTAGGTTGTCAAGTCAATCATATTAGAAAAGTTTATGAAAACATAAAAGTTTCATATACTGGTATTCAATATTTACAATATCATTTTTGCTGAATATGTAGTTAAATTTTCAAAAGTTGAATCAACAGTTTTAACACGCGGTCCTAACTTCGACCGTTAATTTGAATTTTTGACCTACCGGATGTTTGAAAATCAAGGATTACAAGTCTCATACTGCACCGTTTTTCTTCAAACGTGTTCCATTCAAAGCATAACAAAAATCCCTTTCTGTTGGTGCATTATTCTCTAAAACAGGGTCCCTACTTCCAGTGGCATTTTGGTCCCCAGCTGTAAGAAGGCCTTCCAACAGCTGGGGACCAAAACGCTGCAAGAACGAGGGACTCTTTACAATAAAGTAATGCACCGACAGAAAAACAGTGCAGTATGAGACTCGCAATCCTTAATTTTCGAGCATCTGGTAGGTCAAAAATTCAAATTAACGGTCGAAGTTAGGACCGCGTGGTAAAGAAGCATGTTATCATTGCTTTAAAAACAGAGACATGGAATAACACTTTTTGCTTTAAATAATTCCAGTCGTACTAAAGAGATGGAAAGTTCAATCACAATTTATAGAAAAACATTTTCCCTGCGCTCAACCAGAGGGATCAATGTTTATGCATGAACTTACCATAATTTGACTGAAAGGCCCCATTTTCATGATATTTTGAAACTGTTCGTACATGTCTCTCAGTGTAAACTGACCTGAAAGAAAATAATACAGAAATATTAATATTAAGTGGTTACTAGTATAGGAAAATTATTTCTGAAAAATGAAAAAAGAAGCATGACAAATTGTGATAGCTCATATTTTAAATTGAATGTAAATTCAATGTTATTGCAGTATACAAATAAATGGTGTCTTACCATGTCTCAGTTTCTTCATGAGCTCCTCGTTGTCATCGAGTTTGAGTTCATTTACTTTGTCTATGAGGCCTTCTATATCTCCCATACCTAAAAAGAAGTATTCCTGGTATAACACACATGTTCCAATGAATATGTCATGAGGCTCTCTAGTCTCTATATCTCATTACATAATTAAAAATTTACAGACAAAATTTATTTAGAGATTGATGTATTTCTGCCTTGTTAGATTCAATCTTCTCTTTGCCTTGGAATATTAGACACACAGTGTACAATATTGTACCTAAAAATGACATCCCCAAAATTGAAAACAAGTTAAGAATTTCATACAAAGAAATATTCTCTAAAATTTAAAATTAATTGTACAATTTTAGGAACAGCAAAAGTCAGGTTTGGTTAAGTAGCTGCTCTGTTCATATGTTCTCATCCAACTTTGTTATAATAAGAATTACGAGCTACAAGACTTACCTAAAAGTTTACTGACAAAAGGCTGTACTTTAAATGGTTCAAAGTCATCTATGTGTTCCCCAGTTCCAATAAATATCACTGGACTTCGAGTTGCTGCTACACTGTAACATAAGAAAATAGATGTTATTTTTGTGAATACTTTTGGGAAGGGGACTGTATGAATCTAATGAATGACTAAAGCATAGTGTTCCTATGCCACTTTGAATGTGTGTCGATAAAATTTTTGCTCCCGATTTCAGTCATAAATTAAGGAAATGTAAATTATTAGGAAAAATCCGACAGGAGTCCTGTATAGATTGGACATTACTTTGTCAAGAAATCAAAATCTTATAAACCATATAAGGCAACTTAATGAATACTTACGCACTGAGAGCACCACCTCCCTTCGCGTGACCATCTAATTTTGTAATAATAACAGATGCAACATCTACTTTTTCTTTGAAAGCTTTTGCTTGGTTCTCACAGGCCTGTCCTATAGATGCATCCATGACGAACACTGTGTTGTCTGGGCTCTAAACATAAAAAGTTGTGTTTGTTGTGATCTTAGCTCAGAATTTATATAAATACTCAATATATGTTTGATATGATGAAACAGTTAAAAAAATTAAATACAATAAATATAATTTTCATTTTACAAAATCATTACAATTACAGTGACGAATGGAAAAACAAATATAACTTATGAGTGTAAACTATACGTTTGGTTAACTACTGTATAGATTTTGTGGCCTTGAAAATGTAAAGACAAGGCATTAACATGCAAATGCCACCACCTGCCATTTGTTACAGAGGCCAACAGCCGAACGCCCCAACACCAACCACCAACACCGAGCACTATCCACAAAAAAACTGGAGATTATAACAATATGTTACCACTTGTGGTGGTGCCATAAAAACCAACCATGTGAGTATTATATCCCAATCTGAGCAAATAATATGAAATGCCAGATGTTATTAGGCTAACTTACGGTGACATTTGAAACTTGCAACATCTCTTCAAACAGGGAGTCTTCTTGCTTATGTCTGCCACTGGTATCAACAATGATGATCTCAAATCCCTCATCCTTGAACTTCTCTACTCCCTCTTGGGCTATCACCACAGGATCTGGCTCTGTGTAACTGAAAACATATCATTGCTATGATACAATATGACTGTGCTGTTAATGGGTTCTATAATAAACTAGTGAACTTCAATGTAAGATGAGATACAAAGCATTTTTATTCCAACTATAAAGATCACAACATGACAGACATCTTAGATTTAGCAACCCCCTTGATTGTGTAGAACACATCACATGGTACATATAAAGTAGGTCAGCGAGCACGTGGCATAATAAACAATAACAGATAGATATTGATGAGTGAATTATATGCTAACACTACAATGACATTGCTGGGTGATAAACATAATATCGTACAATATGACATCGCTGAGTGATTGTAAGTGATGAACATACCAAGTGACACAACTGCATGATAAATACAATATCATACAATATGACTTTTGGTGGTAAACATGATATCACAGAGCATGAAGACATCACTGGATGATAAGCAAAACAATGATACACAAGACACTGACATGCAAAGTGACACCAAATGGCATTTGATATAGATCCTGAACACTAAATGCCATCCAAAAAATGACATTAATTGTGAAGATGATAATAAAAATATGATCATGATGACCTCACTCACTGATTAATATAACAGGAAATGATATTACTGGGCGATTACAAAATATAAGATGGTTCAAAAGATTCAATACTTATTTCTGACAACTGAGTAACATGATGTGAAAAAATGTAAATTGATACCTTCCATAAAAAGGAATTCTAGCTTTTGTTGCATTCTGTTTCAGCTGGTCAAAGGCACCTGCTCTGAATGTATCTGCGCAGATCAAGCAGGTCTTCCAGCCTTTCTTCATGTAATAATATGCTAACTGGAGATACATGAAAATAGAATTTTTAGTAATTTCTTTAAACAAATAGTGTGCAACATGGATTTAACAAAATTTAGAGTAAACATGAATATATTAATATATTAAATTGTTTAGCCAAGACTTGATATTTATTAGCTAAGCATATCAGATTCACTAACATACTGTATGAAAAGCAAATATTAAAACCTTTTTTCATCATCAGGCATTAACAAAAAGTGTATACTTGATAAATCACAAAAGAAAACATTGGAACATAGCTGAACTGTTATAAAGACAAATGCAGATAGATAGGACATACCTTTGTACAAGTGGTTGTTTTTCCACTCCCCTGAAGACCAACGAACATAATGACATTATTCTTCCCTTTGGTTGGTGTCCATGCTTTGATTCCTGGATCTATAAGCTACAAAAGCAGATATAACATTAATATATTTATCAATTTACACAAAATATCAATTTAATCCTACATCAACTCTGTTCGGTCTGTATGATATACAGGTGGTATACAAGTTGACAATATATTTGCTCAGCTGAGTAAAATGCTTTTGTTTGGATCTTGAAATCGTTGGACTTTTCATATTTCTAAACCTAATATATGTCAACAATACAGATAACTCAAAGAAAATTGGAAAAATACAAAATTGATCACACATGTTTATGTGCCAGCTATATAAGGTATCAAAAATCAATTAGAAAAAGGTGTAGTATTTTAAAATGTTGGTTCACAGCAAAGTTCTAAGAGTTTAATATTAAATGTAATAAAATTTTTGGTCATTTTCACAAATAGGAACTGAATATATTCCAGACAACAAGTTGCCACCTTACTTTAACAAGTTCCTTGAATACTGCTGATTGTATCATCCGCCTTTTGTTGAGACCAGCAGCCATTTCATCAAAGTCAATAACAGACCTAAAATAGCCAAAAGTAGAGGTGTCAAGTATTAACCGGTTAACCAGTTAACCGCCGATAATGCCTTGACCGGTCTGTGTTTTTATGGGTGGTTAGTTGACCGTGTATAATTCTGTTATTTCCCGCGCTTATTTTGCATGCTAATCCGTTTGGTTTTATGGTGTCAGTTTCACGTAAGATACTCATACATGTCATGAGTCCTATTACTCCTTACAAACATCCAATCAGCAACTTTAATCCCTGCCACATTGCTTTCCCGCGCTTACTTTGCATTTTAATCTGTTTGTTTTTCAAGCGTCAGTTTCATGTGAGCTACTCATACATGTCATAAGTCCCACAACTCCTTACAAACATCCAATCAGCAACTTTAATCCCTGCCACATTGCTTTCCCGCGCTTACTTTGCATTTTAATCTGTTTGTTTTTCAAGCGTCAGTTTCATGTGAGCTACTCATACATGTGATAGGTCCGATAATTCCTTACAAACATCCAATCAGCAACTTTAATCCCTGCCACATTGCTTTCCCGCGCTTACTTACATAGAATAGAGTAAAGCTTGACGAACGTAAAAAATAAACGCCGATATCATTTTTCCAATTTTTTTCAACTTTCAAGATCGAAAATGAAGATTTCATTTGAAATTATCAGTTCAAATTTCCCGCCGGTTAACCGACTTTAACCGGTAAAAACCCCCGGTTAACCGGTTAATGCTCAAGCGGTTAATTGACACCACTAGCCAAAAGAGATAGTTGATATTACGAACTTATGATCATGTACTTATTGTTAAAAAAGAGTATGCATTTCTTTATCATTGAGTAAATATGTTTATAATAGGTTTTGTCATTCGAAAAAATATCTGCTTTTCATGGTTAGGCTATTTTATTCAACAAAATTCACACATTACTAAACAAATCTATCATAGATCCTCCAATGAGAACAGTTATCAATGTATTGATAAATGGTTCATCAATATTTTTTGATGACACAAAACAGAATGTTTCTATGATCATACTCCCACCATGAAGGCAATACAAGTACAGTAGTTTAAAGGTATTTACCTGACATTTTCACGTAATTGTTTGACTAGTTTAATATTCACATCTGCTTCTAGAAGGGCTTTACATATCTCCTTCAGCATAGAGTTGAGCACCTGTAGAGACAGAAATAATAAATTTTATCATACATTCAGTCTTAAAAACAACATAGCTAAGGGTGTCCAGATGCTTCAACCAATATAGAGTCCAGCCCTTCCAGGTGACATCGCCATCATTAAATTAAGTGTGTTTTAAATGTGAAAAAATTATATTCATTATCATGTTTATGATTTTTGATTTCTTTTCTGATGAGCACACGCATTAGATCAATAAGTCATATAGAATCAAGAAAATCAATTAAATACAAATTACAAAAATACCGAACAGAACCATATAATAATCTTTGAACTAGTCTGTAGAGTCGCAAATGCTAAACGACTCACTTTCAAGAACAAATAAAGCTGTGGATGCATTTTGATATGGAATACTAGATACCAACCAAACAAAATCTCATACCTCTTCATTGATGATAGTGGCATTGCTCAATGACCGCAATGCGGTTGTAATCTTCCGTCCTAAATCTGCTAACACCATTTTGATACTTGAATGATTAACTTGTATTTATGTTCATTACACCATAAACAGTTCTTTTAGTCTCTATTGATACCCTCCAGAATAGATTAATTGCTGTGACCTAGTCCTGAAGGAACTGGTTTTGTTCCGCCATCTGAAATGTGAAAATAGTTATCAAACAAAATTAAGATGATGTAACTTCAGTAGCAGTAGGCTAGTTTTGACACAAGCTTGTTACTCAATTCTTCTAACTATTTCTATTTCTATTTATTAAGATACAACAGGCAATTGTTTGATTTCAGCAAAAACAAAAATATTTTGATTTCCATCACGCTGAAAAATATGAAGAAACAAACTTCCCCCTAGATTAGAAATCATAATTAAATAACCAAAAACTATATGCCAAAATGCCCTAAGGCGAAGGGGTGTAACGTCAACACCATTTTGGGGTAACTTCGACATGTGGGGTAACTTCGACACCTTGTTGTTTATTTGCTCTTATTTCCGATCTAGGGGGAAGCCATGTTTTTTTTCTCACGATCTCGCGAGATTTTAATTTTTCCAGAAATTAAACATGGCGGAAAACGGAAATTCTACTTCTAATACGTAAGTGTCGAAGTTACCCCGTCTATTATGTCAACATTACCCCACACGTCCACATTACACCCCTTTGCCCTAAATGAAATGGCGTCAAAATGTGACGAAGATAATGATAATATGTAAAGATATAATAAAGAAATCCTATATAAATCTTGATAAGAATATATTCTAGCCCAATGGAGTGTTCGAACAACAAGGTGTGGTCATGTAATCGTGATATTTTCCGAAAAACAGGGGAAAACAAGTGAAAATGAAATTGAAAAAAAATCCAGAAAAATATGATGAAATATGATGTCACAAATCAACACATTTGGATGAGAAATGAGGAATAAACATGAATTGAAAATATGGAACATCTTACTTACCAGTGATATTAGACGCCTTTTATGCTCGAAAGCTACCACAAGTTCGGTAAAACCACAAAAATTAAATAATCTGGAAAAGATGTGGCAAGAATTTTTGATCCCGTAATATCTCGCGAGATTTTGAATCGAAATATCTAGCGGATAACTTTTCAAATTTATCGACAAATATTAAGCATCAATGAAGTCCTTTGAAGAAGGGTGGGAAAAAGTGCATTCAGTAGAATCTACGTTTCATATGATAAAATCATCATTAATAAATATGTAAACAATTGATGAGAACCCGCATGATTATTTACAGGTAAAGGGGACATTATCCGCAAAATAGTTTGTTGTGGACGAGTCTATTCTAAACTTGAACTCGTCCAAAAAGTTGGTCGAGATTCCTGAAAAAGTGCAGTGTGTTTACAACTTTTCACTACTGCCGATAACTTACTACAAACACATCACACACCGGACGAGATAGAGACATTACTAAAATGAACATGCAACACCAACACAATCACTTCACTAGAACATTATGAATATAGAAAGACACGTTCGCAATCAAGAATCCGGCAAAAGTTGACCCTGAAAAATCAGATCAAAAAACAAGAAATACTCTGAAAATAGATTCCACAAGTCCCAGAACTTAGACATTATACTGTTATATACGTGATTCTGGACTCTGTCAAAGCTACATGGCTACAAGCATCTAGGTCCAGCAGAACATATCAAATGGACATGTTGAAGTACCTTACCCACAAACTTCGGTCGCAATCTCTCAATGAAGTACAGCCATTTCAAGCTTCGGTAAGTCATAACTGTTCATATCGTGCAGTAGCCTAACATTAAATAATCTAAGTTTCTTTGTACATTTAAAAACATGTGCTATAATCATATCATTGCCGATGCCCTCTTATCTTTTTTTGGTGAGAAAAAGATGATATGATAGTCAGTGTTGTACGAATTGTTACACATTATTTCAGGGACCATCTTTTTTATGTCACCGCCACAAGTGGTGACCTATTGATACTTTATCCAACTATTAATGGACAATGTTCAGCGCCCGGTGTTCTGCGTTTAGTGTTCAACATCTCTAACAAATGGCAGGTGGTGACATTTTGCATGTTAATGCCTTGTCTTATCATATTTTCACAACTGTTACTTTTGAATGATCGAAAAATCTTGGATTTACAAGTTATAAGGCAGATATTTGGGGCAGACTTACAATGTCTTCACTTCACAATTCATGCTCTTGCAGACATTTTTCACAGTGGCTTTTCTCAATGTTAAGTCCTTGTACTCTCTATTTCACCTTTCATACATAACAATTGTGCTTTATTTTATGTTTTAGGTTGATGAAGATAGAGATTCAGGAACTGAGTCAGATGAAGAAAATGCTGAACTGGCTGAATTAGAGAGATGTAAGTACATGTGTATTTGCATAACTTAAATGAAAGAACATGCATGATTGCACAAGTTAGTCATAAGACACAAGTACAACTAATTTATATAGTAGTAGTTGGTATTTTTAGAAGTTTTTTAGGATTATGCCAATTGTTGGGATTTAGGGATTAATCTGAATCTTATTTTAATTTTCAATCAACTTTTTGTCAAACAAATTGTCCGATCCCGTAATCTGCAAAAAAACATTTCAATCAATTTTTTTATGATTATTTTGTGTATTTTTAGTATCTGACCTCCAAGATGATCGTGAAAGAAAGATTGTATTCCCAAAGCCAAACAGGACCTCCTTGGCCTCTCCAGATCTACCGAACACTCTACAAGTAGGCTTCACATCATTACATCATAATGGAGGCGACCAACTCTCCGTTGATGACTCTAGTTATCTGTCAGAGAACCTTAGTGATCCAATAGCAGATCTTGGCAGCTCGGACTTAGAGAGTGAGAGAGACAGTACAGATTTTGAACAATACGAGCGACCTAGCTCTGAAGAAGAATTAGCAGTTATTAATGGCAGGGTTATTCATCCAGAAAAACGAAAATGGTCGCAGATGATGCGCTCAAGTTATAGTGAGAATTCCGCATCGTCAGATGAAGAGGTTCGGGATTTGTTATCAAGGCCCCAGCCGGTACTATTTAGTTCCACTCCTCCGCAAAATGGAGTAAAAACTTGTGAATTCAAACATTATAAAACTAGGGGCTCTCAATCATCACCGAAAGTTTACATTTCTCCAGTACGGGTATGTACCGTGTCACCACGGAAACGGCACAAGGGGACCTCCCCAGGGGAGTGGCATAAAGATGGTAAATACAGTGGACATAGGCCAAGTCTTGACTTTGAGAAAATGCAGCAGGTACGATTTATTTTTAAACTCGGGACTTAACTAGAGTTAAAAATATAAGATAGAGAGATATTAATTTATTTTTTAAACATTTTCATGGATATATTGAATGGAAGTATACAGTGTACATAATTGAATATAATCCTTTTTGGCAACTTTGATGGATTACTTGAGGCATCTGCTGCTAGTTTCCTTTTCACTGAATAGTAATGGGCATTCAGTCTTTTGATGTAACAATTGGAGGAACATCAAAAACACTTGGCTGGACAATAGACACAACCCTGTGGCAAGGCCACTTACTAAACATTCATGTAGTTTTTGATAAAAGCAGATAATGAGGATACTGTACTATCAATCCCGCTTGAGGTTAGCAGTGTGCTAGTGCCAGGCAACTTTGCCAATGAATTATGGCTGACTGCCCACATTGGCAACCTTAATAACACTGGCATGTATTCAAATGCACCAGACTACAAATAAAATGGCTTCCCCCTGGTCATAGGGTCCATATGTTTATACACATCATCTAGTACTTTATACATATATGTTTATAACAAATCATCTAGTACTACACATACATATATGTGTACATTTGCTTACTACCTCAATGATTGTTCGAATAAGTACCATTGAATACACTATAATTATTATATTTAATGTCCTTGAACATGACATAAAGCTGGGCCTTGCTTAGTTCGTGTCCATCGAAACCTGTCAGTCGATTAATAGATAATGCAGTGAACGTCAACAATCGTAAATAAAAAAATTATAATAACTACTTTTATTTTTTGGTTATTAATTTTATGGTTGGGTTTATAGCGAGGAGAGATTGATGTTCATAATGTACCGTAATAGTAAATTGTGTCATGTCACAGCAACCATATAATTCGAATGAATCGATATTTGCAATCCTGTGTTATATGGCTATTGGCTGATATGAAATTGAAGTCACTGTAGCTGTTAATTCTATTTAACTTGGCTTGTACTTAATTTGGCATTCTTTCAAGTTCATTGAAACTATCTTCGTTATATCCGCATCCACTAAGCCTGTTTTTATCATATTGCTTTTGTGTATATATACTGTGCATTTTCTAAGGTAATGATCTGATCCTAAAATCTGTAAATTTTGGAGGTTTCAATGAAAGGAGGGGGGGATCAGTGTCCTAGAAGGAGTCACCATAAATTAGTTCCTCAGCGATTTGATGACGATCTGTTCTAAACAAAGTGAACCCTTATGTTTCTATAGACATTTGTTCTTCATTGAAAATCCTGATTACAGCTAGTTCCAACCTCTTGTCTTGGCATCTGGTGTAATATCAGTTATTACAGGCTAGGAGCTTCAAGTCAAGTAGATTGAAAATGGAAGAATGATTGTTTTACGCTTCATTTCACTCATTATTGTATTTCTGGAATCCAATAAATAGAACTTTGCATTAATTTGAAGAGAGAATTACATTATTCTCAAAGTCCCTAGTTTATATTATGTCATATTCTGCCATTTAAGATAAAGAAATAGCATTCAAATTATCAAGTGCTATATGATATCATACATGATTAACAGTTATAAACATGGACAGTCATGAACAAACATCATAACCAACCTCTTCTGCAATATGCATGTACCTTTAAATGGCACTAGCTCCGCAGGGTAGAATCAAGTTCCTTTCTGTGAATAACCTTCTTAAAATCAGTCAATTCAGTTTCTATTATACTTGGCATGCATCCAAACTCAGCAATTAGTAAGTGTATAGTGTGCCAATTCTACAAATAATGTTCTTCGTGTTCTGTATTCAGTCTCACATTGTACACTCGCCTCATATACGTTCAGCCTCATATTATTCAGCCTCAAATTATACACTCGACCTCATGTTCATATTGAATTAACACCTCCATAGATTGTCATATTATACCCTAAATTAGATCATGTTTGGAAATAGTATACACAATAGATTATACCCATTGGAAAATATAAATGTAATATGCTGTAATGGAATTCTCCATATTTAATTAGCTCATTAATAGATGAGCCAGTATTTCATAGGTTAATAAAGCGAAACATATATTATCAATAAGTCAACTATCTCATGTCTCTAATGCCATTATTCTTCCTGAATGCCTGAAAACCTAATATCTGATATCAGTTTATTACTTTTCTAATGTCTTCTCACTTCTCCATTTAACAATTGGTTGTTTAACAAGTTAAAATGCAATTTCAAGTTATTAACAAGAAATGCTTCCATGATTCCCAAATCAATTTGAACAGTTTATTACCATATATCATTTATGGATCACAATATTATTTTCCATTTTTCTTGGAACTCATCATAAACATTCGAATCATTACATTTTCTTTGTGATTAATATCTTTTGAACACAGAGATTATCTTGAATATGATTAGTAAGTATTCATCAAAAATATGTTTTTATGTTTTTTATGCTAATTATATTTTATATTGGCATTAGTAATGATAATCAAGTGAGTGTATATTTGAATGAGTGAGTGCATATTTGAATGAATGAGTGCATATTAGAATGAATGAGTATTGCCCCGTGAGTGGAGCAAACAGGGACTTTCTAAAACATTGAAGCTAGTTTACATGAGAATTTGAAAATATCTTACACATTCCTAGGAACTTATTTGCTCATGCTTCTTCCACAAAATGAGAAAAAATCATGAAGAGAGTAAAGTTTGGGAGAACTTGTTTAAATGAAAATCTTGCAACTATATCAAAAAATGACCCATTAGGAATGAGAAATATGTGGTAACATTTTGACTAGGTATATTGATGATACGCTACTGTTATGTCAACATAACTATTGTTATGTCACCACAATTGTTATTATGTCACAACAACTATTGTTATGTCACAACAAATTAGTCGACTTGTAACATTTTCAACCATTTGCAATAACTTAACAGGTGATGACATTTGTCATGTTAATATCTTTATATTCCTATGCCTTAAATAGAACTACACACTTTTAAATTATGGAAAAGAATGATGAATATCTTTAAAGCACTTATTATAACGATTTTCTTTATTTCAGAAATCAAAATCCGTAATGACAAAACAATGTAACCAGAGAACAAGGAATCTGAATCTTCGGGTAAGTTTCAACATGTTAATTTATTTTGTCTGTATTAGAGTTGCATTCTCTGGAACCCTTTTCAAGAGCTAAAGTAACATTCATCTACACTCTACAATATCAGAAATTGTTTATTTATATATAGCATATATCCAATCAGAATATACATAACAATACATATTGTTAGTACCTCAGTGTAAATACTCGCATCTGATTGGTCAATTAGCGGTCAACATTTTTGCCTGTACCTCACTTGTGCATCATGGGATATCATATTATTGACCGCGTATGTTACTGTACTACACTTGTGAATTATGGGAAATATGACGTCACAATGTTTACAGAAAAAACATGGTAGTCGGACATTTTGTACACGTTGATGAAAGTGATATTTTGACTTTTCTACACGACGAGTATATAGCAACAATACAAATAGAAACGCAAAATTAACATTAATTTTCTGGTGAGTACGCAGTTATGTGCCGAAAACAGAGAGTTTAGCTTCCACTGTCTTCAGATTTTCTTAAAAATTATTGCTGGCGTGGTTCATAGAAAATATTGTGAAATGAAGCCATGATTGATGACTGTCGTATATGAGTATTATTAGTTTCTTCTGACTAACAAAACAATTGTAGACCTCTTCATTCGGTTAACCGTCAAAATCATATACCTCGACTGTAAACCTTGAAACACTGTTGACCTCGACCTTCGGTCTCTGTCAACAGTAGCTTCTCGGTTTACAGTCTCGGTATACAATTTTGCCGGTTGACCTCTGGAGAGGTCAACAATTGTATACATTAAAACCTGTCTTTGTGGAACACCTTTGATACCTCTTAAAAAGTACTTCACATGGAGGGTGTTCTACTTATATATATTCATTTAACAGTAGGTCAATTGGTATTGGCACTCTGAAAAATGTTCCACTAACAGAGGTATTCCACTTCAATAGGTGTTCCACTTAACATGTTTCACTGTATTTGCTTATCTGAAACAACATTCATGTGTCATCCATACTTTCTTTTATAAAAGGGCATGAAAGCTACTTTTGAGATCAATTGTATATTTGTGAAAACATTTTTGAGATCGATTTCATATTTATGGAGTTGTAGGTTTCAGGGTAAGACTTGTTAGTCTTTTTACCCAGTATTAAGTTACTAATAACCAGTCTTCAATAATTCTGATGTTATTGGATGATCTCATCTTCTACAGCTTCAGCTAAAAGTATAGAAAATGGCATTTTACTATGACATCATATTCTCGGCATAGAGAGATACATATAATGGCAGATACGAATTATGTTATTACCTTTAGAAACTGTATTTGGAATCACATTCTATTGAATGCAAGTAAGAATATTATTCAAACCTTTTTGGGGTAACATTTTTTAATTCAGTATAATACCCATGCACACTCTTTTGCCAAATGCCTTTAGTGCCAGAAAATAAAGTAAATAATATAACACATATATTGTCCATCATAGGACATTGGAGAAAGGCAGTTTTGATATACTTGGAAGGTACCCCCATCTCTACATGAAAAAATGCCCCCCCCCTTCACGATTTGCCATCTTGCTTCATCAAAATCTGGACCTGTCCTTACCTTAAGGCAAATTATTTTGTATTGGCTAAATAACCCCCCCCCCCCAGCTGATTCAATCTCTTGAATATAATTCCGTTGGAAGTAGCCTGAGACTTGCTCAGGGACCTAATTCAGATAAATTTGCTCAAATCTGATTGGCAGGTGGTCCAGTCCGCGTGATCCATGAATGGTTTTTGCTAATGCGATGCGACATATTACTTGGATCTCGAGTTTCTCATATGAGCCCATATGATAGAACAAAGTGACTGAACGTGGAAACTGATGATGCGATTTGCTTGAAAGCAGGAAATAACTCCCGTAACCCATTCCCTGTAAAATTCCTAATAAGTAGGATAATTATTAACAATACGGGAAGGTGTGACCATATAGTGCTAATTAATATAAGATTACACATCTAACTCCATGCAATATCATATTATAATATAGTTTCTCCATTGCTGTCCTGTATGTCAGTGACTCCCTAGTTCATCAATATGCAATCACTTTTCCTCTTGCGGGACGGAACTGTTGGCAATCTTCCAAAAATTACACATTCAGATGTAGCGTATACGATATTAGATCATCAGTGAGAATTCTTCGATCTATATCACATTTACTGTGCGGTAATCAGAAATCTTGCTTTTTTGGAGTCATTGCTCAGAGTGTGACAGCTAGAAAAATTACAATTGACATTCATGGAGTTTTATTGATTCTGTTCTTTACTGGGTTTCTTTGATTCAGTTAAAGCTCTTCAAACTGCTACATTGGTTTTTATCTTGGTCGTTATGGTAACATGTATCATGAAATCACAAAAAGCAACATTCGAAAACACCCCAAATAACCAGATCACTAATCTGCTGTTTACTGTAACTTTGTAACAACAGAAACTGCCAAAGTATTAACATGTAGATTTTATTACTTGGTGTTCAGGGGTTGGAATTTAAACATTTGTAAAAGTGACAATTTAGGCTCTTAACCTAAATAAAGGTAGTACTTAAACCTGCTATCTTGATTTTGAACAAAACAAAGTCTGTTTCTTCGATTTTCAGTGGTTTTATGTTCTTGGAGAGGCCAAATTTAACCTGTGAAATGTTATATGGCAATATTGAGTGCACCACTGGCTTCTAATTTTACTCTTGAAAGCCCATGAGTATTTGAACTGCATCTGTATGCCTTTGACATTATTTGATTCAGTAATTTCTGTAAACTTTGCTTTAATGGCTAAATGCTATTTGTGTCATACTACACTTTTCATTTTCTTTACTCTATTTTGCGTTTTAAAACATACCCCCCCCCCCAGCAGTGAAATGAATGTGAAGTCTGTTGTGATTTGTCATGTAGAGGATGAGAGATAAGAGTATAAAGTTTCACCATGTAAACCTCTCTCCAAGTCCTTGGAATGTGTAGTTTATTGCCTTTGTTCTAGAGACAGGCTGTCTGCTGTTTATTTACAAACAATTAGACAGAAAAGACCTGTCACATCCTTTATATGTGGATGCTGGTCATCTTTTGTATCTTCAACCAAATGTCAAAATTTGTAAATTAAATTAAAATGAGAAATTTTTAAGTCGGTTTAATTCATTGATATGATCAGGGCTTGGTTGCTGACTTGACGTCAAAAGTTAAATATTGTGTTGTTGATTTATTTTTTATGAATTTTAAAAGCTGACGAAATGTATAGAACTTAACTGTCATTTTGACCTCATAATATCCTTGAATGACAGTTATGTGCACGTTACATCTTGACAGTTCGCCCGAACAGTTTTGGCAAAAGGGCACTCTAACAGTTTTTTTGTTATTATACAAAATGCAATTTTCTGAATAATAGTTTCATATTTCATTATTTTATGTCGGATCTAAGACATGAATTGTATTATGCTTCAAATACAAGGACCATAGAACTCTTATCGATTTTGCAGTATACTAATATTTGGCATTCTTCCAAGTCTATTTGGTCGCAATCCAAATGTGTAAATATATCCCGTGTGGGCCTATATGGATTGAACTCAAGATATTAGCCAGTGGTTTTACATTTAGCAATCAGAAACTATAGCACCTGTTTGCATCAGCAACAAAACCATAGAGATTGTCCAAACTCTATTAAATCTTTATAATCAACATACATTTATATTATAAGCTCCAGAATATCTTACCTATTTGCCAATGTTTATTCACCTGCTGTAAAAATATTTTTTCATTTAATTATGCTTTACTATATTAGCTTTCGCCTTGTATGAACTTTCTTTTGATGACGACTTTCATGATAAATGCTTTTATTAATTTTGATCTTATTTTGGAATTTATCTCATAACAATACGTAATACATAGTAAAGGGTCATCCAGTTGAACACTCGAGTCATTGTCCCGAATATTACTCAAACCATGTGGATTTTTTTCAGTTATGTATTTCAAAACATATGTTTGATGTTTGTTCTAATACACTGGTTTGAAAACAATTATGTTCTCAATAAAGGATATATGGGTTAACCTGACATGGGCCTGGATATTAATAGCAATCTACATTTCTATATTTCACGTTTATGAAAATAACTTCCTCAAAATATCTAATTTTGGAGTGAACTAATCCTTGCCTGTAGCTAGAGCATTGTAGTATTTAGCCAATTACTGTAAAACCTGCATATTTGCCCCAATCTCTCTATCTGAGCAACTTTACATTTATTTTATTACTTTTTCACCCTCATAAATGTTTCTGTTTCTACATCCCATTACCCCCATGTTAAGATATATTGTGAACACCAACTATTTCAAAACCTTTAGAGCAGTCCTAGATGTATGTAAAAACAGGTTTTACTGTACTGTTTTCGAAGCCTTGGTTCAAGTGATTTTTTCTAAATTAAAGGTAGTTGGAAAATTGATTGTGAGTGAAGTCATAGTCTAATTATAGAATAGAAACTCCTTGTATGTCAGTGACAATTTTATTACACTCCCATAAACTAAAAATATCTAAAGTAATTAAAGTTGACAAGTTAAGTCTTAAAGGCCATAACCTCGTGCCTCCCATTTATTGATTCTTAAAGACTGAAACCACTTCCTTCTAATAATCAAAAATATCTCTGAAATTTTTAATTTCCCCAAAGTTCAATGAAGATCATTCAGTCTGAAATCAAAGTACTAAGCAGTCTGCACTTAAAAATCAGTTTTGAATTGAGTAAAATAATATATACTGTTATTAATGGGTTTTGAGTATAAATTACATATATGGTTTTTATAACACATGTTCTTTAAGTATTTTGTAAATAGAATAATTCTGCTTGCAACGCGCGTGGGATGAAAATTAATACAATGTAAAAAGTATATAAATTGATAACAGACTAGGTGTTAATATACACGTACATGCAGTCTAGATAATATTTTGTACATGTTTTAAAAAAGTCTCTCAACTCTCTAATTCCAATATGCAACCTCTAGAATTGAAGTTAGTT